TTACACCTACCGTCCCCACAAGTTTCTATCCCCCCCTACTCCGGTCTACCTCTAAAATTTTAAGTCGAGAATCTCCATGTCCCATTAACAGATGCTGTATGATGATGGTACATGTAAAGAATTGTCTGGTTATTGGTCTTCATGGTAAATTCATGCATATTCGCTCATATTTGCGGCCCATTGTCGTGGCACATAGACTGGAATCATCTGATCAAGTAGTTAATCGACATTCAGATATTTGGCTAACTCCTCTCCACTGGCTCTGGCTTCCGAACGTTTCCCCTGTATTTGAATGAGCATACGTCAATGCAATTACCACCCGTCTTCGTTGGATCGGTGCTAAAAGCGATAAATTAGCCAAACTCTTAGGTTCTGCAACGGTAGAGACACTCTAATAGGTAGTTACTAACATTAAACTTCCATTTTATGGAAAAACGTTCTTTGTACATTGGAGCATCTGAATTAAATTGGTTTCATGGTGTATCGGGCTTCAAGAAAAGAATATTCTCGTCGTTACAGACCCAATATTATTAGTCTCGATAAAGATTTATTGTGACTGAAAATTAGAGTAGTTTATAAATCAAGCGTTATTTTATTGCACTCAAATAGTGAATAATTTAACCTAAAAGCATGTTGAAGTAATAAATTGGAGACATGTGTTTATTCGTGGCACACGTACTGAGTGAATCTGCGTTATGCAAAAGAACTTCGATAGTTGAAATTCGTCATGATAAATTGTTACACTCCCTTAAACGCTTACCGACTGGAATTTAAATGGGTGGTTTCATTAGGAATGGAATTAAACTTGATAATAAATTACGCCATAAAATCCAGTAAAGAAGGATTAAATTCACGGGCTTTGAGATTCGGCATTACATTAATAGAAAATGGTAGAGGTCTCATAACTACGATTGCACTTAAATTACAAATTACAACTTAGTTGTACCGTAAATTGTTCATGCTTAAATTATAAATAATAAATAAGTAGACTAAACTACGCAAATCAGACTCTAAGAATCTTGAACACAGATTAGTGAAATCCCACGTTGCATTTGTGCTATTTTTCAGGGCATTCCAATCAGTGCATCTCCTAGTGCCTGAAATGACCTTGGGTGATTCACAATTGTGATGAGTAATCGTCGCGTGAAATCCACTTTCGTTGAAGTTACTAATTTTAAAGGTGACCCATTAATGAGCAAATTATTTTTTTGCATGGCACGTAAGAACTGGGCTGTAGAGACTGTGGATGTATCTGTTGCTGCCACATTCATTTTGTGACAAATGTTTTCTGGACGAAGCAAAAACATGGCCTCTACTAGTCGCCAGCACGAAATCGGGTTGAGTAGTTTAAGACTTATGATATGGTATTTATGACTTTTTGAGTTTATCAAAGGAATACATCGGCATTTCTGTTGTCTACAACTTTCATAGTTTAGAATCCATGATATCAAATATTTCTGTCCGATTCGGTATAATCGTTGCTAATTTATAAAAGCCAGACATCACAGTATAAGGACCTTTACACTAATAATCCCTGAGGCAGCTTCGGGTAAGGTAGCGTGAGGCTGGAATTGGCTAAATTTTAGGCTTATCGGTTGTTTTTGCGGCACCTTACACAGACAGTTCCTACATTTCTCATAAACATAACAAAAAACCTGTCAATTTTAGAAGTCTTTCTCGTTCAATAAGCTAGTGGTAATCGGGTTAAATCTTCCAGCAGCAATTCTCGTAGGTTGGATTTTAAATTAGGAGTTTTGAACTACTTTCGATGGATTTTACAGTCTAGACACAGACTTACATTTCTTATTGTTGAAAGTAGTAGTATGTTAACGAATTTATGGTCACATAGTTTAAATTAGTAAACGTTGAAGCTTTAGTGCTCATGCCCATTTCTTATGTCCCATTCTGTGGATTTGGAATAGCAACCTGGTAAAGCGAAAGCGGCATGAACTAGGGCTTGCAGACGCAGTCAATGACACTCACTGGTTGAGTTGAAGCATACTAATTTGTATCACTGTTACATGTCAATGCATCCAGAACAGAAGATACAAACTGTGTCCGGTCACCCTCATAAGACGGGCAAATACACCAGGCGTGTGAAAAGGGGGATTTTCATCGAACAAAGGCCCTGCTGATTAGCAGTCTGGTAAAGCACAAAGTTTGAAGGGCGGCACATATTTAAAGGCGCGCGTATTCTGAAGACTCAAGAAAACCATAGTCACTTTTGCATGGGAGCATTAACCAGGAAAAAGGTAAGATGATAGATTTTTTATGCATTTTAAGGTATATTCACAGATGAGAAGAAATAATTTTACATAAGAAATATCACCAATGAGACGAATAATTCCACCCAGTTAACTTTTTGGGATAACGAAGAAACACTGGTTTAAAATGGAGCCTTAGTATATTGATGACACCAAACCACTGTCAATTGAAGTTTGATGTTTGTTTATGCAAAGTAAGCATGGTGGTTGTTTGCGAAATGTTTGGTGACGGCAAGTTTGAGCCATAAACTATGCGCACGAAAACTCTGATTGAACTTTAACCAAAGCATAAATATTGTGAAAAAGTTGTTAAAGAGACTTGTACTGACATCGTAGTCCTTGGCTACGCAAAAACGATGAATGACCTAGCCCCGTATTTCAGACCATTTCCGTATTGGCTGATAATTGGTGTCTAGAATGCAAAATATTACTGCAGCAAAGTTGCAGGCATCAGTAGGTGCATTCATTCTGTAAATAATAAATGCAAAATAACTCTAACGACAAATGAACTTCACTGCGTAGTGAATTTTGTTAATTCACGACTACCACAACTGCCTGTGCATGGTCAGGTCTTTCATGCTTTTTACTCTACATCGACCGCATGCTTTATCCCCTATGCTATCTGCCCATTTGAACTACTACCAGACATCGTCAATCCACTCAGCACACATCTGTCATTTATCAGCATTCGCCATCTGGTAAAGGCAGCACACGTTTTCCAGGCTGCCTGATAGACAGGCTATTCCAATTGTCTTCGGACTTCTCATCTTCTCCGATGCATATCCGCACAGTGCCCACGCCTCTACGAATTCGATTGCCTTAGTGAAAATTTGAATTTAATATCGGGAACTTAGTAAATTAATGAAGCAGCATAGCAAAGCAGTAGCATTCAAAATAAGAAACAATTAAAAAATATTTTAATACCATTATTTCCTTTTACTCCGATTTGAAGAATACACTTATTGATGCATGTTACTGTTGAGCAAGCCAGGACGGCTCACCGCTGAATAGGAATCGTTACGTTTACAAAAACCCCTTAGTCACGTCGCGTTACATGGTCATGACACACATGGCTCCCACTGTGTTACTCCATCCTGTTTTATCAGGTTAAGCTACATGGAATTTTATTTCCTTTACACGGGTGGCAACCTACATAAGAAAGATTAAATCGGCAGAGAAATGAAATTTAGTTAAAATGTATTGATGTGTAAGTCTCCTTATCAAAATTAAAAAAATCACAATACGTAAATGCGTTTGCCAAATTTTTATATTGATTCAACCAAAAATCTGTTTTGTGAAGTGTTAATAATAAGGGAAAACTCATATTTCAAACGTTGATATAATAACTACTAATTTATGTTGGGGGAAAGTACAAACCAGCAACGTCAAAATAAATAAAAACAGCTATCATCTACCAAATACAAGCTATAGAAAATCAACAACTGCGGCAGCAAAATGATAGACTAAAATGACACAAAAATAAAATACGATTCGGGTAAATTTTTTGAAACCGTGTTTATAGTCACGGTACATACAACGAACTTATCATACACACTGCGTCAGATTGAGTTCGACTAAAATGCATGTCGTCTGAACTATTACTTTAACTGAAGGCACCTCTTTTTAATAAATTCGAATTTTAGGCGTAATATCAAAATCTGATTCAAAGTTAAAGCAATGAGTGGAACTTTTTGGCATTTGAAATATTTTCTATGCACCATTTCAAATTTTTATATTGCGAGGACACCCAATTGAATTCTGTTGTATTAGGGTGTTGAAGGATGCTATTCAAATCTGTAATAAGCCTTTGACTTTACTAAATACATGAATTAACTAATTTGAATTTATAACTCGAGCAACATTCGACGTCAACATATTGATGTGATCACTTCCGTAGTGTCTGGTAAGTTTCCACCAAATATGCTTCAATGATACAGTAGTTGGATATAGTATTGTTTAATAGTACCAGCACATATTGCGAGGCAGCTAAACACTTTAAAAGGCAGTGTTGCCCTAACTCTAAACCACATTATAAATTTAATTTTTATCCCTATGTTCAGCTCAAAGAAGTAAACACAAAAGCAAAACCACGAAACCTGACAGGTTATCATTTTCCAATGCGTAAATAAAAATATAGGATTTTTAATGTTAGGCTTTGGTTTACTCGTTGGAATTAATTATGGGGCAATAGCAGTGTAAGCACTATAATTCAATAATTAATTCTAGACGCGATAGTCCAATGCCTGCCATTATGAAAGTTTTTTTCCAAAAAAAGAGTTCTTGTTTGCAATAAAGCATAGGCAAAAGCACACGGCCATTGTGAACCCCGAGTCATGGGACGAATAAATAAATAATGTAAATAGGTGTTTTGCAGGCGAAACGTCAGAATTTACTCAGAAAACGTGCTAAGAATCGCACAGTTATTTTTTTACTTTGTGTACACAAAAGTTTATGTTATGTAAAAAATTTTGAAACTTATCGCAATTGCTCGTTTTAATGTGTACCGTTGTGTAGGTGATTTTGTCGGGGAAAGTTCAAGATTTTTGATTTCGCGATAACTTATGAAGCAGTGAAATGGCTGATAATGGGGAGTACCCAGAAATTAAACCTAGAGGATATTATTCTGATATTTTAGCACCTGAAGCTAGCGAAGGCAGATTAGTTTGTGATTGTTAGCCGTTTTCATCATAGCTTAGGTTGGTGAAAGTCCAAAATCTGCTTTTGAAAATGCATTAGATGAATCACGAGGAGTTCAAAATAACCCTGAAGGTATGCAAGGCTATGTGCCTTCACAGATTTTAGTACTACTGCCAATTGATAGCAACTTAAATGCGTACATAGACTTTTGTGGCACAAGAAATGAAAATGAAACACTCTCAGTAGGTTATCTAACGCTCTTATCCGTTTCCTAGGATTTTCCAGAGTCATCATTTGAACCCAAAGTACAAGTGCCATTTTATGTGAAACCGGGTCAATGCCCCAGGAAACTTGTCATTGAAAGGTAAAATTTTTGGATTAGTTTATGTATCTAGGAAACGGCGAGAATACGAGAGGCACAATCTCGAACGCCTGTTGGAAGAAAGGCACAAGATTCTTACGAGAAATCTTATGCCAAAGCCTGCTTTTGACTATCGAGATAAGCAAAGAGCTTGGGATCGTTATTTATTCCTTGAAATTTTTGATGATGAAGATTATGACTGCCGGACCCCTTCAGATTGGCTTGCATTGGGGCTTGTTGGTAAAGTTCGCAAACCCATACCAGCAATTGCCCTACTGCCTGGTGTTGAAACTCCAGAAGACGGTAATTTATGTGTTTTAGTAACATTTTTTTGTAAGTAGGATTTACACCATTCTGCATATGCGTAATGGGGATAAAGCGTTCGATCAGCAGCAATTTATATTTATGAACGACAACAAAATACAGCAACCTAATTTAAGATAAAAATGCAGTTTTACAGTAACACACTTAAGATTTGCGAAGTATGCATGTTTTATATCCTTCATAACACTTAGAAAATGACATTGAAAGTAGTCGAAATTAACAGTTAGGTATATTATCGAGGTTAACATTTTTTCAACTATCCCAGTGTTGTCAGAGACAGGTTTATGTGGTAATAAGTGTTTTATATTTTTAGTCGACATGCGAAGTGTGGAAGTAAGTTGGCACTGGCAAAAATGCGCTGTTATTGACTATAACTGGAACACTAAGAAGTGGCTAGTACGGAGGAAGATTTCGAATATTTGTGGACCAACAAAGGATCCAACGGTGGCGGAGTCACAATATTGGATTCCTAGGATTCAGTTAATGTTTTTAGCGGAAGACCCGGTTATCTTTGCAAAACGCGTTGCTCAAGCCTACTATGATAGGGAAGCTGCTGAAGCAACGATTCGTTACAACCTCTATCTGGATTGCATGCCCGTTGATGGACTTGTCGAAATGAACCAGTCGACGATAAATCACATCACTTACCTTGCCAAGGAATCAACGCCACGCCTAAAAGCTGTCAAAGGGTAAGTTTTTTTACAAGGGATGTCTTTTACAAAACAAAATATACTGCTCTCATTAAATGCACCAGAACTACTGAAAGAAAATAGGTAATCAAGCACAAATTTTGCGTCAATACATGAGACCAAAATTGCACACATTATCAAAGTAATCTTGTTTATAATGAGCCATTTTTGCATACATTGTTTTTTATGACTCAGAAAACAACAGTCATAATTTATTCTATTGATGCATGCTCTGATAATATACATCCATTTGTTCAAAACAGAACTAAGCTTGTCTTACTGTCTTTTCTTAGCTTTATTGTAATAAAAATCAAAACTAGACTTTAACTAGTCACTTAACAGGCTTTCGACATTCTGGTTCCTAGTGAGTCCAACACTTTAATTAGACTTACAGATATATTTAAAACGGCTTTTTCATAACCATATATCTAACTTTAGATTAGAATCATCATTACAATTTCTACAGAAGGAAATTGTTATCGACCACTGGCGAAGCATGAATGATATAATTCTACGTAAGCTTTGCGGACAGAAACTTCCGGAATACGATTTTATTAAACCTCCAAAAATTAGAAAACGTGCTTGGAGATGGAAAGGTAACAACAAACGTTTTTGTTCTGTGGTGTTAAAATCAAAGGCGCTAGTCCATCGTTATTAATTAATTCTAGGTACGATCGAGATGCCCAAGTTTGACTTCAGGAGAGCTTTTGAGGAATTTACATTTAATACATTTTTCACACGGCCTGAAGCTATAGTGGCGAATGCTACAGCCCAGTTCGAATGTTTTGAGGCGAGACGAAAATTTCTTTTACAGTTTCCTGTTTCAAAGGCGGTCAGAATTGAAGAATTTGAGCAAACACAAATCCAGACAATTCAACAGTCAGCATCGTTTCTAAAAGTATGACTTGGAAAATAATCACACTGATGCATCTTTTAGACTAGCTGGATTGAAAATCTACGACGTCACATTCGCGTAGCCTTGCGTGAGAGCGGTAAAGGATGGTTTAACATATATGAAACTGACTATTACGTCTACTCAAAGTCAAAACTCAAGAAATTTTTGGAAAGTATAAAGTTCTGCATGCAAGATGCTCTCCGTTACAATGTTATGGAATCAATTTTTGGATTTGTAAAAATATTTGAGGATGCCTGCTATGACTGCCTCAAGCTTAACTCAGACTTCGTGTGGACAAATGACCTACGAACAAGCAATATTCAGTAAGTCTCAAGTTCCTATTTATAAATGAATATAGTTTTATATTTATTGCTGCAAATTTTTACTACTAGGCCGAAATACAATCCGGTCTTTGTTGTTGACCTGGTAATTGACTCGGACGGAGTCCATTACAGCAACCTAATGGGGCAGTTTGACAGATGTTGCGGGCAGCTTTTGGATAAAGCTATAAATTCCATCCAACAGATTTCTCAGCTCGAGCGAGTAAGCGTCCTTTTTGACTGTTTTCTACCTTTTTTTGATTTAGTCTTTATAAATTGTATTTCCTACAGTTTGTTGTTGAAGGCATAAGTTGGTCAGAAAACCCATTAATTGAGGCTGTTGGTGCTCATGAGCCAGAGGTTGAAGCCTATAGGACCAAACTACGAAAATTACTTCGAGCCGCCTACATCCCAATGAACGCTTATGCTGAGCAATACAAGACCTACGTGGAACTATCGCTTCTCGAAATTCCAACTTACATAAAGTAGGTCATGCTTTTCTACACCACTGCATCAATTCAGGTGGTCGCTATTATTTAGCGTTTGCCCTACTTAATTCGTTCGCATATGACATTTGTTTTGAAAGTAATTCATTTTAAAATTCAGCCATTGTGTTGCTTGCAATGTTATTAAAGTCTGTAACCTTGCAAGTCTGTGCGCTTTAATGCCTTCCTTTATTGCCTAGTTGTATATGACCCTCATAAAGCATGGAGTTCCACATGCATACGAGCAGAAATGGCAAAGATTTGTGAGGTTACGCAACAACGATTGTACAGCAACAAGAATGACACGAAAGTGTTTTGTTCAAGAGCCTTACTTATGCAAAGGAATAGTTAATCATGCTCCAATATTAAACAACCAAATCGGTAAACATGTAACAAGTATGTATCTGCCCGAATTCATGGTCCATTTATACGCCTTTAGCTTTTTGAAAGACTGTTAAAGGTAGTTGAATGACATTTTAGTGATTTTCTGCGAGTGTACGAGGCCCAAAATGAAGATGCCTACGCTGTAAAAAAGGAGGTAGAGAAACAATATTCTGAGGAGAAGAAATTGGAGGAAGTGATGCCTCTATTAATCACGATTGGGCCATTCCTTATAAATGTAGAACCCCTCAGGACTAGACTTATGAAAAAGAGGTCTGACATGGCCAGGGCTATGCTTGATTTACTTGCACGGCAATTAAGGAAACAAGCTGATGCTGTAAGTTTGAAAATGTGACACATAAATGCCCTTTTCCACGCGATGCTATTTTTATATGAGGTCATACATTGTTGCCAACAGCGACTGTCTGATTCTCTGGCTGGGTACATTGTACTTAAGATTACAGGCCTAAAATGCATGATCACTTTGATAAGTAGCACACATTCTCTTTGATCATGAGTGGAGAGGGTTGTCAAACGCTAATTTGTTTGCTTAGTGGCTTAGAGTTTTTAAGCATTACTTTTACTTAATAAGGTTGATTTGCTGACCAAGTCAATGTATACTTACAAACAGAGCAAATTGCTGGACCACTAATCTATTTTTTATGCACCCTGGACTTAGGCCTGTGAAGTGTTCCAGGAGATTGCTAACAAACTCTACGAGAAACCTAACACAATTGAAGAGCTGACAGTAGTTCGTGATTACATGGACACTGTTCCTAGTATTGTTGAGAGACAACAGGAGGAGGTAGATCGCGTTCTTGCTGACTATGAGCTAATTGACGAATTCTACTACAATCTAAACAACGATGACTTTACAGCCAAGTAAGTAGTACATTGTTTTTAAGCGTTGATTAAAAATGCATCCCGGTACATCTGTGCATTCTCTAGATGGACCACAATTGCATGGCCGAGCAAAATCCGGAATCTTTTGGAAGAGACGGAACTGATGTTGGAAGAAGACGAAGAACGGTTCCGGAGACTCCAAATTTCAGACTTGGCTTCCTTTGCTGATAAGATTGATAGTCTTACGGTAAGTTAGCAGTGCCGTTTTAGTTATTGTCAAATTTAGAAGCATTAAAAAGGCTTATTTTTTCTTGTTAAGATGATGGTATCCTCTATGGCATCATTTACAGACGTGAGCAAAGCCCATGAGGTCTCTAACGAAGTGCGAAGAGTTCACAAGCAACTCATGGACGCACAAGAGAGTGCCCTACTGTATAACAGCCGTGAGAGGCTTTTTGAGATGCCAGTTACTAATGTACGATTAATAAATTTCAACCTCATCTTTTTAACCGATTTTCTTGCTTATTAGGTCCATTTAATGTGTTAATAATTTTTTAGTTTGATAGGATAGGCACTTTGCTAAAGGACTTTGAGCCATTCCGTGTGCTATGGATCGCAGTGTCTGACTGGCTAAAAACACAAGATGCTGTCATGTCTGATCCGCTATCTTCAATTGATGCCGCAGCTGTTGAAAAACAGGTTACCGAATGCCACAAGATTATGCATAAATCCATTCGGATTTTCCACGAGCTACCTGGTGTTCAAGAAGTAGCTAGCCAAATCAAGATGGCGATCGAGGAATTCAAACCCTTCGTACCACTCATCCAGGGCCTTCGTAATCCTGGCATGAACAGTAGGATGTGGGATTTAATCAGCGAAAGGACTGGCATTGCAGTTGTGCCCAAAGCTTCACTGACCTTCGCCAAATGTCTTGAAATGCGACTTCAGGTGGGCTGGTTGATTTTGTTTGAGATAAAATATTAATCAATGTCATATGTAAGTTCCTGTTTTCTGTGTGTATGATTTTGATCTATCGAAATGGTGCAAGAATATAATTTATAAAATAAAAAAATTGCCTTGTACTCTTCATTTCCTAATTAAATATAAATATATTGTAGAGGTTTATTAATGTTTTTAAACCCCAAGTTTTTCCGATGTAGGACCATATCGAGGTGATCACGGAAATCGCTGACATAGCTGGGAAAGAATATGGCATCGAGTCAGTACTTTGTAAGATGATCGACGACTGGGAGAACATTATATTCGAAATTCAACCGTATAAGACAACCGGGACCTACGTTATTAAAATCACGGAAGAAATCAATCAGCAACTTGACGATCACATAGTACTCACACAATCTCTAAGCTTTTCACCGTACAAAAAGCCATTCGAGGAACGCATTGCAAGCTGGGAGAAACGTCTGCAGATCACTCAGGAGGTCATTGAGGAATGGATCACTTGTCAGCGTAACTGGCTTTATTTAGAGCCCATTTTTACATCAGAGGACATCACACGTCAATTGCCAGTAGAAGGAAAACGATTCGCTACGATGGAGAAGATCTGGAGAAAGATCATGAAAATAGCCCATGATCAGCCAAAAGTGATTATTTTGTGTCCCGATAGCCGAATCTTAAACAACCTTCGTGAATGCAACACTTTGCTGGAACAAGTCCAAAAGGGATTAAGCGAATATCTTGAAACAAAACGGCAGGCGTTTCCTCGTTTCTTCTTCTTGTCTGATGATGAACTGTTGGAGATACTTTCACAGTCCAAGGATCCAACCGCCGTGCAGCCGCACTTGAAAAAGTGTTTCGAAAATATTGCAAAGGTACCCAAGTGTTCTGAGTTTTTATACCACAATAACACTTCTTTGTGCAAGGTATTAAAATATTCTTCTGTTTACGTGAACTGCCTGGTATCCTAGTTATTATAAAAAACGGCTTCAATCAATTTATGGTTGTGATGAAGAAAAGACGTCCAAAAATAAATCAGCAACTGTCAGTTACTAAGTAGGTTATTGTCTGAATCACCAACACGAGCTAAATTTAAATGTTCATTATGACGTCATTTTATATTTGTAAAATACATGATTAAGATCTAGTTACACTTCAAGCAATTTTACCAACTTCAATCGGGTTCAACTGACACATTAAATTTTCTGGTTTTTTTCAAAGATTACATTTCATTGCTGTGGTCATATTTAAAATCAGACATTACAAAATATCTTACAAGTATTTTTGTTTGTCATTTAGCTTAGATTTGAGAGTGATTTGGAAATTACGGCAATGTTCTCAGGTGAAGGCGAAAAGATTCCATTCGAGAAGACTACGCACCCGACTGGAAACGTCGAAGAATGGATGTCCGAGGTTGAGAATTTAATGCGCTTCTCCATGCGTACTATAATCGGTCGAGCTCTAGTCGCCTATCCAGAGACCGCAAGAACAGAATGGATTCTAAATTGGCCTGGCCAGGTCGTCATCGCTGGTTGTCAAACCTATTGGGCATCCGAAGTTACAGAGTCCCTCGTTCACACGAACGCGGGTGGACTCAAAGGATTGTATCCCCATCTGTTAGACCAGTTGGACGATCTTCGCATCTTAGTTCGAGGTGATTTAACGAAAATCGGTCAAATGACGCTCTCTGCATTGATCGTTATTGAAGTACATGCCAGAGATGTAGTTGACAACATGGTCCAACAACATGTCTCATCTATTAATGACTTTGAGTGGATTAGCCAGCTACGGTACTTTTGGATTCCCAAAGAAGAAGAGCTCAAGATTCGTGTTGTCAATGCTGAATTCTCTTATGGCTATGAGTACTTAGGAAACACCACCAGACTGGTAATCACACCACTGACAGATCGCTGTTACCTCACTCTTACTGGTGCGCTCCATCTAAACTTTGGAGGTGCTCCATCAGGTCCAGCAGGAACTGGGAAGACTGAGACAACAAAGGATTTGGGCAAGGCTTTCGCTATCCAGTGTGTCGTTTTTAATTGCTCCGATCAGCTCGACTTCATGGCCATGGGCAAATTCTTCAAGGGTCTTGCTTCATCTGGTGCCTGGGCATGCTTTGATGAATTCAACCGTATTGACATTGAAGTTTTGTCAGTTGTTGCGCAACAAATCACAACTGTTCAGAAAGCACAGATGCAACGGGTCGAGAGGTTCCTTTTTGAAGGCGTAGAATTGTCCCTAAAGGCCTCCTGCGCTATCTTCATTACAATGAATCCCGGTTATGCCGGCCGTACTGAGTTACCAGACAACTTGAAGGCGCTTTTCCGACCAGTCGCAATGATGGTTCCAGACTATGCCCTGATCGCTGAAATTTCCCTTTTCTCTTTTGGCTTTGCTGATGCCCGTGTGTTAGCAAAGAAAATCGTTACAACGTTTAAACTTTCTTCTGAGCAGTTGAGTAGTCAGAAGCACTACGATTTCGGTATGCGCGCTGTTAAAAGCGTCATTTACGCCGCTGGTAATCTGAAAAGACGTGAAGCGGATATGGACGAAGTACGTCATCATGTTCTTTTAGAAAAAAAATCTTTTCACCATGTAGCAATGGCTGCATAAGTGTATGCAATTTTTTAATTAAAGGACCTCATCGTCCTCCGAGCAATTCGTGATGTAAACCTACCGAAGTTCCTAACAGATGACTTGAGCCTCTTTAACGGCATTGTATCCGACCTATTTCCAAAGATTCGTCATATTGTGTTAGTTCTTTAATTGGTTTTAAGTCACAATGCATTAATTTTGGTGTTTCGATAAATATTGTTCTTTTTAGTGCGGGAGAGATTGATTACGGTGATCTCATGGTGGCCCTAAAAACAGCTGCAGGGAAAATGAATCTTAAGGATGGTAATGGTAAGCATGCCACCTCTCATCTACCATCTACCACTGACTAAATTTATAGTTCTGCTAACTTCTCAGAATGAGTGGAATACATTACAAGTACCTAAGTGGCTACATTGCTCTAACAGCTGGGAAATCAGTTACTTTTAGAAAATTCACTTGGGTAGTATTCATCTGGGTTCTTTTTCAAAGGCGGTTTACTAACTTTTAAATAAGGAAGCACATTTTAATCTAGGTTTTCTACACAAATGCATCCAGTTATTCGAGACCACGGTTGTTCGGCATGGTCTGATGATTCTTGGTCCAACGGGATCTGGCAAAACTAAGTGTTACGAGGTACTCAAAGACGCTCTGAGTTCTTTGAGAAACCAGCCTTCTCCAGACGGCTCGTTCTTCCAGAACGTTATAACTTACGTCTTGAATCCCAAATCTATCACTATGGGCCGACTGTATGGGGAATTTGACCTTGTAACACACGAGTGGACTGACGGTATCTTGAGTGTTCTCATTAGAGAAGGTGTTGCTGCCGATGACCTTGACAAACGGTGGTACGTTTTTGATGGTCCTGTTGACGCTGTGTGGATTGAGAACATGAACACAGTGCTTGACGACAATAAGAAACTCTGTCTGAGCAGCGGTGAAATAATCAAACTGACTGACACCATGACAATGATATTTGAAGTTGCTGATTTAGCTGTCGCATCGCCTGCCACTGTAAGCCGATGTGGAATGGTCTACTTGGAGCCAAGTATCCTTGGCTTGAAGCCTTTCATCGAATGCTGGCTTCAAAGTTTACCTGCTCCAATTTTTCCGCATAGGGATAAATTAGAAAGTCTCTTTGATTTCTACCTCGAGGTAACTTCTCTAAAAAAAATTAAATTTTCATTACAAGTAGATATCAAGGCACCTAGTTAATTTTTAGGACTCGATTCAATTTATTCGAGAGAACACCCACGAAATTGTACCCAGCACAGACGGCCAGCTAACTTTCAGTTTATTAAAACTTTTCTCCTGTTTCTACAAACGGTTTCTCCCAAAGCCGGGTCTTCCGCTGCCGGCGAAGAAGGAAGAACGAGCCAGGGTAAGTTGTCAGTGCATTGCTAACGGTTCTTCATAACTTTTAGTGCATTTGAACTAATTAACACATCATTAAATTTCTAGGCCAAGAACACCCAGAATCTAAAGGCACCTCTGCGCCCTCTTGGAAAAGAACCTATTGATGTATACCTGTTTTTAACTTTTTCATGTCATTGGTTTCTCTAAAGTGCTACCGTCATCTTAATGCGCCTTACTATTTTTCAGGACGGAGTTTCTGAAGACCTTATTGCAAGAACTGGTGAAGTTATTGAATCTTGGTTCTTCTTCTCATTAGTCTGGTCCGTTGGAGCAACCTGTACCAACCAGGGCCGCAAAGCCTTTGACATCTTTCTGAGGCAAAGGATGAAGGAATTGAAGGTACTAAGACAATATGGATTCTTATGATTTTTCATCCAGCATTATGAGCAAATCGTATTTTCGTTGTAGTGTTACCGTCCGTTCCCTCCAGAAGGCATGGTGTATGATTACTATCTTGACGAAGCGGGCACACTTAGCACAGATAAGAAGGATTACGATTGTGATAATCAACAGGAAAATCAAGTGAGAGTTTGTTTTTAAATTCGAATTTCAACAAATGCAAAATTCACATTAAAATTTCGTTGTAGGTTCATTGGGAGCACTGGATGACACATGTACCACCCTACGAAGTTGACATGACGGCAAAATACTCAGAAATTCTTGTTCCAACTTTGGATAGCGTTCGTCTTGTTAAGGTTATGGAGATGCTTCTGAAAAATGAAAACCCAGTACTTTGCATTGGGCCTACGGGTACAGGAAAGACTGTATACATATCGGACAAGCTCACGCGAGGCATGCCCCCCGAGTTCATTCCTGATTTTATGGTTTTCAGTGCCAAGACATCAGCTAGTCAGACACAGGACTTGATTGACAGCAAACTTGACAAGCGAAGACGCGGTGTATTTGGTCCGCCTCCCGGAAAGTACTTGATTTTATTCATTGATGACCTAAATATGCCTGCTCCAGATGCGTTTGGTTCCCAACCTCCAATCGAACTAATTAGACAGTGGATGGATTTCAAGGGTTGGTACGACCGAAAGCAGATTGGCACCTTTAAAAATATAGTGGATGTTAATTTCTTAGCTGCTCTTTGCCCACCTGGAGGTGGTAGAAATCCAATCACCCAGCGTCTACTGCGACACTTTAATTACTTGGGTTTCAATGAATTGGAAGAATCTAGTCTCATGACTATATTTTCAACCATCATAACCAGCTGGTTTATGCAAACCCCAGAAAATTCACCTGTTCGTCTTTTGATTGAACGTGTCGAGCCATTAGTAAAAGCAACTATTTCAGTCTATGTTACGGTTCAATCACAACTTCTGCCGACACCAGCAAGAAGCCATTATACCTTTAACCTTCGTGATCTTTCCAAGGTTTTTCAAGGCATTTTTATGTTTGACATATTTCATCTCTCGGGCGACTTCAATGGGGTTTTACGTCTCTGGTACCACGAATCGTGTCGCGTTTACCAAGATCGATTAATCAACAATACTGACAGACAATGGTTCAAAGATGTGTGTATTAAAACACTTGACAGCTTTTTCGAGGCTAAATTTGATGAGGTGGTCCCATCAGAGCCGCTGTTGTATGGTGATTTTCTTTCTAATGATATTCCTGAGAATCGAAAGTACATCGAAATGGTTGATCACTCACAAGTGATTCAGGTTTGTGAGGAAAACCTGCAAGACTATAACCAACTAAACAGCGCAAGAATGGACCTAGTGCTTTTCATGGATGCTATTATCCACATTTGTCGGCTCTCCAGGATCATCCGACAGCCACAAGGGAATGCCTTATTACTGGGTCTTGGCGGAAGTGGACGTCAAAGCGTAGCCCGTCTTTCAGCTCATATGTAAGTGTTGGAGTCATTTTGGCCCCAATATAGCTTAGAAGTCATTAATTCATGGCAAATTATCCCTCTAGATCTGAAGCTGAGTGCTTCCAAATTGAACTAACAAAGACATACGGTGTCCACGACTGGCAGGAAGACTTAAGAAAAGTCATGATGATGGCCGGTGTCGAGGACAAACAGGTTATGTTCCTGTTCTCCGATACGCAAGTACGATCAGAGTCTCATTTAGTTCAGGTCTTAACTACAATTCAATGTATTACATCTTTTGTAAATTACAGATCAAGACGGAGACATTTTTGGAAGATCTTAACAATATGCTTAATGCGGGTGATGTGCCAAATATATATGCCTTCGAAGATCTCGAGAATATCTACACTGCCATGGAGCCTGTGGTAGCCAATTTGGGACTGGTGCCTACAAAGAATAATCTATTTTCTACTTATGTCAAACGTGTCCGTCAAAACCTTCACACTGTGATCACGATGAGCCCACTAGGCGAAATATTCCGTGCTCGATTGCGTCAATTCCCGGCACTGGTTTGTTGCTGTACTATCGACTGGTTCAGCGAATGGCCAGATGAAGCTTTGGAAGCTGTTGCCTTAAAAGTTTTCCGAAATATGACTGATTTGAACACTGATGATGAACTCCTAGCCAGTATCGTCAAGGTATGCCAGAAAATGCATCAGTCAGCCGTTCAATACACTGCAAGGTACCTCATTGAAATGGGACGATATAACTACGTGACAGCTGCCTGCTTTCTGGAGCTTCTTGGTACATTCTCGAAGATGTACGGCTCAAAGCTGACTGAATTAATGAATTTAAGAAACCGAACAAAGACTGGATTGGACAAACTTCTCTCCACGGAACTGATTGTTGCCAAGCTACAAGAGGAACTGGAAGTGATGCAACCGCAATTAGAGAAGGCTATCGAGACCTCAAAAGTAACGATGGAAGAGATTGCCAGAGATTCTAAAGTGGCAGAAGAGACAACTGCAATCGTTCAACGTGAGGAGGAAGCGGCTGCGAGAAAAGCCGCTGAATGTGCAGAAATCAAAGATGATGCTCAACGTGACTTAGATGAGGCTTTGCCAGCACTCTATGCATCACTGGATGCAGTTAAGTCGTTGAACAAGAGCGACATTACTGAAGTTCGTGCCATGATGCGTCCCCCTGAAGGTGTCCGTCTTGTTATAGAAGCTGTGTGCATAATGAAGGACGTTAAGCCAAAAAAAGTGGCTGGTGATAAGCCAGGCATTAAGGTGGACGATTACTGGGAGCCTGGCAAGGCCATGCTCCAAGATCCGGGAAAATTCCTTGACTCCCTTCTTAACTTCGATCGTGATAATATTCCTGATGCAATCATTGCCAGAATTCAGCCCTATATTGATTCAGAAGCTTTTACACCTCAGGCCATTTCAAAAGTTAGCAAGGCATGTACGAGTATCTGTTTATGGGTGCGAGCAATGTTCAAGTACCATCACGTAGCCAAGACGGTGGCTCCGAAGAGGGCCGCAATTAAAGCGGCTGAAAAGGAATTGCAGGAGACTGAATTTATTCTGAAGGAGGCCCGAATTCGATTGCAGTCCTGTAAAGACCGCATAGCTGGTTTGCAGGTTAAGTACGATGAATGCACCCTTAGGCAGCAAGAATTGGAAAATAAGAGCAATCTTTGCGAGGCACGTCTTGTGAGGGCAGATAAACTAATTGGTGGCTTAAGCAGTGAAAAGGGAAGATGGATAGAATTAATTACAGAATTAGAGAGCTTAGCTGAAAACTTAGTTGGTAACGTGCTTTGTTCTTCTGGTGCTGTGGCCTACATGGGCCCTTTTGGTGGAGATTATAGACAAGAAATGTCTACAAAATGGGTTGAGTATCTAAAGGATCTCAAAGTGCCTCACACATCGACCCCAGGTCTAGTTCAAAATTTTGGCGATCCCGTGAAAATTCGTAATTGGCACATATTTGGTCTGCCAAAGGATAGTTTTTCCATTGAAAACGCTGTTATTGTCCAATTCTCACGTCGGTGGCCTCTGTTCGTAGATCCACAGGGCCAGGCGAATAGATGGATAAAGTCGCTCGAAGGAGATGAAGGACTTGAAGTCGTTAAAATATCCGAAAAAGACTTCCTGCGCACTCTTGAAAATTCCATCAGATTTGGTAGGCCTGTTCTGCTAGAAAATATTGGGGAGGAACTTGACCCTGCTCTTGATCCAATTATTATAAAACAAACATTCTCACATCAAGGAACACTTATGATTAAGATTGGTGACAATATTGTTCCTTACCATCAAGATTTTCGATTATACTTAACCACGAAATTGCCGAACCCTCATTATTCGCCAGAAAATTCAGCTAGGTTGGGAATAGTCAATTTTACCCTCGCTCCAAAGGGCCTGGAAGATCAGCTTCTTGGTCTCGTCGTGGCAGAAGAACGTCCCGATCTAGAAGAAGCGAAGGGCCAACTTATTTTGAGCAATGCCAAAATGAAGCAGGAGCTTAAGGAGATCGAAGACCGCATTCTTGAGCGACTCAGTTCCTCCGAAGGTTCACCTATTGATGACCTCGATCTGATTGCGACACTTGAAGCCTCCAAGCTCAAGTCTTCGGAGATTCATGCAAAGGTCATTGTGGCCGAACAAACCGAACGGGATATCGACGAAACCCGAAGCATGTACATTCCTGTCGCGATTCGTGGCAGAATTCTATTCTTTTGCGTTAGCTCAATGCGCAATATTGACCCCATGTATCAATATTCGCTAGAATGGTTTATAAACATTTTCATAAATGGTATTGCAAATTCTGAAAAAGCAGGTAAATTGAAATTTACCACACCCATAGTTACGTTGGCTAACCAAGAATTCTAACTCCGTATCTATTTTAGCCACAGTCACCGAGCGTATCGAAAATACCAACAACTACATTACGTTCTCTCTGTATCAAAATGTATGTCGTAGTCTTTTTGAACGACACAAGCTACTGTTTTCATTCCTGATAAGCATCAGAATCCTTGAGGAAGATGACCTCATCAACAAAGTAGGCAAAATGTTTTTACTTTTGATTGTGGAAAATGTGGTCAAAAAGCATATCTTGAATTACTTTTGTTTTGTAGGATGAATATAGATTTCTGCTCTCTGGTGGTTCACAAAGAGTTACTGAAATTCCAAACCCAGCCCCAGAATGGATATCAGACCAAATATGGGGAGATCTCTTGGCACTGGATGCTTTGCCTAATTTTGGTGGCCTTCCGAAGTTTATAAAGAAAAATCTTGATGCATTCAAGAACATATTTGATTCACACGAACCCCATCGTATCCCACTAAAAGAACCATGGGGTACTAAGCTCGACAGCTTCCAGCGCCTCCTATTTCTACGATGTTTCCGTCCTGACAAGGTTGCCAACGCAATGCAAGATTTTGTGGCTCATCACCTCGGTCAAAGATTTATTGAACCACAAAATACCAAACTCAGTGAGGTGTTCAAGGATAGTTCACCAACGACTCCCATAATCTTCATTTTATCAGCGGTATTTGTTTAAAAACTACTTTATTCACTTCGTTGCACCTCACTGACTTTTCACTTAAATTTTAAAAATATTTAGGGAACTGATCCAGCTGCAGATTTGTATAAATTTGCAGAGGAAATGAAGTTTGGAGGCAAGAAACTATCGTCTATTTCCTTGGGTCAAGGTCAGGGTCCACGTGCTGAAGAAATGATGCAGGCCGCAATGGATCGTGGGCTCTGGGTCTTTTTCCAGAACTGTCACTTGGCACCCTCATGGATGCCTTCCTTGGAACGTCTTGTAGAACAGATCGACAAAGATAGGATACATAGAGATTTTCGCCTTTGGCTTACTAGCATGCCAAGTCCACAGTTTCCCGTGTATATCCTTCAGAATGGTTCGAAGTTGACTATTGAGCCACCAAAAGGGATTAAAGCCAACCTCCTTAGAACGTACTTGTCAATTGGTGAGAAGCAGTTGGAAAGTGTTCCACAAAAAGTAAATACTTTGCAACATTTAACCTCATATTATTTAAAAATGGTTAATCATTCTTTAAAATTATATTCAGAATTCGAACTTCAAGTCTTTACTTTTGGCGCTCTCTTTCTTCCACGCCGTTTGCATTGAGAGGAAGAAATTCGGGCCATTAGGTTTTAATATTCCTTATGAATTTACTACTGGCGATTTGAAGATTTGCATGGACCAACTTGTCATGTTTCTCGATGAATACAGTGAAATTCCATTTAAGGTTAGCCTGTTTGTTATGTATTAATAGCCTCTCATTTTTTTTCCTGCCAATGAACGATTGACATACTTGGATGTGCAGAGCATTGAACTAGAACTGATCTATTTGTAATCAGGTCCTTCGGTATACCGCGGGTCAAATCAATTACGGTGGTCGTGTAACAGACGACTGGGACCGTCGATGTTTAATGAACATTCTCATCGACTTCTATCATCCCAAGTCCCTTGAAAGCGATCACCAGTACTCAAAAACAGGCATTTACAGGCAGATTTCTGGCAAATCTGATTACAAAGTAAGACAGCTATTCGAATGTTTAACGTTTGCGGGTTAAAACCCGCGGCTATTACAACATGAATGACTTTTTTTATTTTTGCGTAAGGTTGAATGTGTACCCTCAGTTTAGTGATGAAAATGTGTTTAACTTGTCTACTCCCTTCTGGCTATGTTCCTTTATGTATAGGCACTGCACTAATTTCGATGTCTTGTTTTCTTAGGCGTACCTTGACTACATTCAGACGTTGCCACTCAATGATCTTCCTGAAGTCTTTGGTCTGCACGACAATGCAAATATCACTTTTGCACAAAATGAAACTTTTCATTTGTTAGCTGACTTAGTGCTCTTGCAACCAAAAACATCTAGTGTCGGCGGTGGTGAAAAAACTCGGGAAGAGGTTATTGAGGAAGTGGCCACCAGACTTCTCCAACAGTGTCCACAGCTATTTGATACTGAAGTTATTGTCAAGAACTACCCAATACTCTACGAGCAGTCCATGAATACAGTTCTTATTCAAGAGGTCAACAGGTAAGCACCTAGAATGCGACGCAATTGCCACAAAAGTGTAATCAGTGCACATTACGTAAACTATTTAGGTAGCATTCAGGCAGCTAAACAACAAAATATTGGTCATGTTTTGGCCAAATCGATAAAACCATAAATTCTAACCTACTTAGAAAGCACGTTGAGCTTCACCGAGCACATTAATTCCAAAGGCCGTGAGAAACTCTTTGAAACCTCAGATCCATCGATCTACCAAGAAAGTGTCTTCTGCTTTCTTGTTTCTGCAATGTGTCAGCATGTCACCGATACCTTAAACGACGGTCCTGTTACTTCACGCTAGTAATAAAATGAACTCCCATAATTAAGGTTAATTAGATGAAATAAATTCTCGTGGATTTCTGTGAGTAGTCAAGTGTCAAAGAATACTTGGATGAACAATTTTGTTTTGTTTTAGATATAACGACCTCTTGATTTTACTAACCAAGAGCCTGAAAGAGCTAATCAATGCAGTTCGAGGTTTAGTTGTCATGTCTGAGCCACTTGAAGCCATAGCTACGTCACTATTCACTAATCAGGTACCTGAAATGTGGAACAGTAACGCCTATCCGAGCTTGAAACCTCTTGGAGCATGGGTGGAGGATTTGCAACAGAGAATCAAGTTTATTCAGACCTGGATTGATGAAGGATTGCCAATCGTGTATTGGATTAGCGGATTTTTTTTCCCTCAGGCTTTTCTAACAGGTCAACTGCAGAATTTTGCACGTAAACATGCGCAACCCGTGGACACAGTCAGCTTCAATTTTAAGGTATGACATGTATTAGTTGAGCCAAGTCGAGTTTTCTTCTATATTCGCAATCAAAAGACCTAATGGTTTAAGCGAGCTGCTAGTTCAGTGCAATATACAGCCATAATAAAGTCCGAAAAAGTACACTGAATAGGATAGTGATATGGTGAGGAGAATGAGTAGTGGAAATATTTAACCGTTGCATTAGGTCATAGACACAGTGTTTGAATTCAGACAAGGGTACACTGGTAACTTTAATTTTTTCTTAAAGTTACAATGCTCAAATAAAAATGCAGGCAGAATTAATCAAATATCAGTTGACTTTATTTGGTGGCAGGGTTTCGTAGCTATGAGTGCTTTTGGCCACCCTAAATATCCTGAAGACTGATCACCATGCTTTTTATTGTAGGTTATGAAAGAAAACATAGGAGACCTCACAGAGGTTCCCGTCGATGGTTGTTACATCCGCGGCCTTTTCTTGGAGGGCTGTCGTTGGGATCCATTGCAAATGTGCCTAATTGAATCCAGACCCAAAGAACTGTACACGCATATGCCAGTAGTCTGGCTTCTTCCTGAACCTAATAAGCAGAAGCCTGAGAGTGGAATTTATGAGTGTCCTGTCTACAAAACTTTAGCAAGATATGGTGAGTTTCCTTGTAGTTTTGAGTATGGGTTTCTAATTAATTAGTGGGACGTTTGTCTACCTAAATGAACGAACTGAGAAAGAGCTAACAGTCATGCTTTAATAAAAGCATCGAGTTGACTTTCGCCTATGTCAAATCCTAGTGCATTTGACTGAGCCAGAATGTCCACAAGTGTAATATTTTCAAATGAAACAATCTGCTTGGTTTACAATAGAGGATCTAAGCAATCGGCCAATTTCCGTTTCTTTCCTAGGCGAAAGGATAAGCTAATAATACAAATTAATAGTATTTACACTGTATTATCAGTTAGGCAGGTTGGGTAATAGTAAACAATTACGTGTAATCTGGAGCCTGATAGGCTCAGAAGGTATTTTACAGGTGAATGGATACATTGGAACCATCATAAGTAATCCTGTTTTAGCGTTTATGTACACAGTAGCTTTACGTCGTTAGTGCAAATCGTTCTTTTGAAAATTTTGTATCTCTACACCAAGCTTTGTTTTTCTGAGATAGTAACGGATCAGTGGATCGTTTAAAGGAATTAACTTGTGCTCGTAGAAGGCTAGTCAAAGGTACACTGCGAGGGAATGCTGTCAACCCTCTGAGTAGCTTTGCTTGATATTGTTGGGACAGTTCAACACGCATACGTGCTAAGCTCCACGATCGGATTGAAGAATGCACGCAAATCGTTTTATTTAAATGCACTCAAATGTTTTCACTAATCGTGTTGTTCTTCGGACCTGTAGGTACGCTGTCAACCACCGGTATGTCAACAAACTTCGTTCTCACCATCGAGATACCCAGCAAGGAACCTCAGAAACATTGGATAAAGAGAGGCGCAGCACTCTTATGTGCTCTGAACTACTGAGACCACAACTGTTGAACCCGATTCATTATCCAGTTACGGCCAATAGTTCGTAATTTACGAGCGAAATCTTTTGAGAAACTAATTTGTACAGAAGGCTGGGACTTCACGAAAATGCCTGAGTCGGTTTCAACCCCCCCCTCTATGACTTCTGGGTTGTCTTCCCCTAGCAAGTGTTCAGAATGTTAAGATTATCCAGGTTAGAAAAAACACTTTTCAGAAAAATAGTCACTTTTTGCCGACCTACTGGGTAAAAGTTACATTTCGAATGGTAAAACTAAAGCTCGGTAGGTGGATGCAGGTAACTAAAATCCACAGCCTTAAAAGTTAAATCCGTTTAAGTAGATTTTACTTGACATGCTGTCATATTGTTAACTCGCCCAATAATTATCAATATAAACAAACGTTTTTAAATTATACGTCCATCCATGACGTATTCTCTGTCCAAATTTATTTTCCTCTCATTTCTGTCGTAAGTCCTATTGTCCATCTTCCTATACCACCTTGATATCGTGCATCCATAAATTGTCACACAAGGCAATAATTTCACAACCAACATAATTTGAAGAGTAGCTAGTTCGACCAAAATTTCACTAGGCTGGCACATACGCAGTGATCACTAGTCGCACAACAACACGTGCGAAAACCGTGAGATGTGGCACACTTATGTGCTAACCTCCCCAGATCATTGTGCGCGACGGACGCACAAGCACTATTAGCTCTAGTTCTCATGCACCGACTCACGAAACAAACTTCCAGTAATGGTTCGCTCGCAGAAACGGAATGCGACGACACGAGTGTAGCACTGTAGTACGTAGCAATGTGCTCTTTAACCATGTTAATTAAATCATGAATGGAAAAGCAGTTAGTTCCAAACTTAAAATTTGACTAAACAAATATTCTTTGTTTTCTACAATGAACTAATGTACCAGAATAAACTACTTCAAGCAAATTAAATAATTGAGGCTCCAGTTGCACATTTTGTATATTTCTATCTTGTAAACCTACAGGCACTAGTTGCACTTAACCGACAGCAATAAATTCTGCAGTTCCGTGCCTAATTCATTCCCATTCATTCCCATGCCAACAGGCACAGCTTAATGTTTCGGGGTTTAGGTAGCATAAACCAGTTTACTCGATTGAGCAAGGTCTGAAGACGAGGAATAAAGCTTACTGTGTCAGTGTACCATCAGTTGTCTCCTCAAATTTAATATCAAATTTTATACAAATGACCGAAATTCAGTTCAGAAACGTTGTAGGGCCATACGGTAAAACAACGTAGCATTCTTTGTGTAAGGAGGGGCCACACAGTCAACGAATCAATGTGAGGACTAGATGCAACCATTTCAACACAGGAACCGTAATAATGCTGAAATTATTTTCGATAATTAGAAGACAAACCAGCAAAACATGTGAGCTGTTTATTGTCAAGAAATCGTTATTTGATCGCATGAAAAAGGAACAAATGTTGAAAAGCACTAGTCTACACGATGAAGCCGCATGAGTAATAAATCAGAAAATATACTTGGATCGTGACAGTGGCAGACATCAAACAATCAAAATGTGCGCGAAGTTGACAGTGGAATTAAACATCAGAACGTTAAAATCGAAAAGCACGAAGCACATTCGTCAGCAAACAAATCTTTTGTCTATTATTGAAAACAATTTCAGCATTCCAATCATCATTATTTGTATCGACACACTCAAGACTCAAATTTTACGTGGGGGCCGAATGTGAGCAATTTTAACCCCAAGCTAGAGATTTTCAAATCTGTCTCGATTATTTGGAAGCAAACATGCCCTGGCGACTTGTAAATTGACAAATTAATAAATACTTCCTCTTGGGCACAGTTGCAGTTTGCAAAAACCCTGACAATCCCATTGCAAACGGCAGGAAATGGTCGAGCGGTTTTCAGTACAGGTAGATGCAATGTCTCACGCCTTAAATTAATTTCTTGTCATGTCGATAAAAGAAAAACGACTGAATATTGTTACTTTATTAACCAGAAAATACAGTTGTGCACTATCTTGTGCCAAATAAAGCACCATTACGAATTGCATGCGACTGACGCAGAGCTGATATCTCCGAAATGAAAAAAGAGGCCTATAAGCAAAAGCAAAATCGCCAGCTAACAGTGGCTCCTACACAATTTACTCAGCATAACACGAAAACGAGAAAAGGCGAAGACATGAGTAGAGTGATAAATGCAATGTCAGCTACATTCGATTGGCACCTACTCCTCTCGCGGGCGTGCAAATCCGTTTTGCTTGGCTTCTGCTTTTGGGTGGATGTAACCAAGAGTGATGAGAGCTTTTCTTGTGACCATAAAGACCGGGTAGCCCCATGCAATATTGAGTATATCCAAAAGGACCGGACAAGAGATAAAGTAGTTGGTGAAGGGTGGCAAATCGGCCTTGATGAGGAGATGCGGCCTGGAATTAAAGTTACTCCAGAAAACAATCCAATAGGGTATAGGAAGAATGTATCGGCCTATAATAAACAGGCCCGCAAACACTAGGGTCACCCTAGCCGACCTTTCTTTGGAACCGTCGCCGCCGATCGTCCTGAAGAACCACCTGGAATAAAATAAAGCATTGGAGCCACTTAAAGATGCGATCGCTTTACGAACTTGGACGCGTGACTTTAATAAACATACACGGGACTAGTGACGCGCACTAATCAAATATGGTTGCAAATTTCGGGTAAAAATGTCATGCACGAATGTGAGCATTGGTAATGCTACTTGGTGCTGAGGTTTTTCGCCAAATGAACTAAAATGTGATTAAGTGAATAAGCCAAACGCAGGCTAGGCGAGATTGCATCATCCTCAAAACCACACAGCAAACAGTATCAGCAGATACAAATTAAAATAAAAGGTGACAAGTGAGATCAATTAATGATTGCTCCAACGACTTTGTTCTCTACCACTGGATATCTGACGTTATAATTAAAAGTCTAGTGATTTTTATAAATTGGATGAATGAACGAAAGTGCCATAAGGAATATCTTAGACGATTTTTAAGTCTTTCGAAAACCTATAATAAAGCACCCTTTTTGGAAACGACTTTGGGTTTAGTATTTGGACTACAGTGACAATTCATAGGATATTTAATATGTGAAGAAAAAACGGATTTCTTGATCTTGAGTTAGATTGCATGTTTCTCAAAGTTATGTGCTTTTGACAAGCAAATAATTGAAGGCGAAGCCACGATGCTTTTGTAAGGGTGCCACATCGACAAACAGCGCTTTTAAATCCAACTGGTAATAACAAATTAAGTAGTTGAAAGAACAAAAGGTGTTGATTTAAAGGGGAATAAGACTACGGGATGTAATTTATTGAGGCAGGGCGAACAGATGCACTCACCTTTGGTTTAAAAACGGCGTCGACACTTCACTAACTAGTCGCATGATGCCATAGACTGGGACGAGCCTGTAGACCTGCGGTGAGGCAAACGGAAAAATCAACAAGTGTGGTAAATCGACGCTGCAATTTCAAGTCATGCAGCTTATCCCCAACCAACTGTATTTCAATATATTTCCTGAACGCTGAACATGGTTTATTCTAGAAAACGTTTTGTAGAAATTTCCAAACGAATAAATCACAGATTAAAGTTTTCGTTATAATGGAGAATTTAAACTAAACCAGGTAGCTTTCGTTCGAATAAACCTAAGGCCAATTAGCCCCGAGTTAAAGCTACATGGTCACACGTTAGTCAAAGGCCATCAAGTTCACTCCGAAAATCACGAAATTGATGAGTGGTTTGCAAGCACTAATCACGCTTAAGATAAAAAAAACAATGATGCACTAGAATGAAGTGCCACGTTGACGGATGAAACTGCAGACCGGTTTGGTAAGGTCTTCGTGCGTTGTTTTAATGTGCCCGCATTTGCTCCTACAGAAAAATTACCGGCAGCGAAGTTAAGGTCAACAATCTAATGACCTGCTTTGAAAGGCACACGACAGGCGAAACAGCCGGCCAGACTGACACTGAGAATTCCTATGAGAATGATGAGACATGATTTTGGGAGTCGTGTTAACAAGTTACGCGTAGGATTATTCAACGAAAAAAAAATACTAGATGAGTTGGGAAGAAAGCAACGACGACACCTAGTCAACAATTTAGCTTTAAGTGTTATTCAAAAATTAGACCACGAAGCCAAACCGTTCCCAGCCAGATATAGAGGAATTATCAGAATGGGCATCCTGATTGGAGCAGCTGTCGATTTTCAAGCCACTGACTCAAGCAAAGCACCTAAACGACGCTACCGCAAAATGCACCACCAAACTAGGAAGGCTGAAGCACTTTGTCAACAAATTCGGCCGAACCCAGATTGGATAAAAGGCAGTGCTTTGACTTGACGCGACACCGAAATAGAGGTTAAAGAATGGACAGTAAAACAGTAAACGAGAAGTGTTGGAGCCAATTTGGATAACTAAGGTCTGGTCGATTTGGGTGCATCAAAACTCTTCATCAGCACTTCCAAACATTCTAAAAGGCGGATCCACAAAACTATCACGGGTCGAAGCAAGGACAGGGCGTAATAATGATCATGATATGCACAGATCTTCAACACCAGGACGATCGCCAAAAACACAAAGGGCGTGAGGAGACCATAGGACGTTTGTCGTCCGGTCGATTTAGCATTTAAATCGGTAAGCACTAAAGAGGAAAAATATTTGAGAAATTCAGAAATTCCCTTCTTTCATATTTTTACGTAGCACATTTAAGGATTCAGAGAAGGTTCTTTTGGCTAGGTGAAATGGGTGGTATTTGTCATCAATTCCCGAATCTCTGCAGCAAAACACTCATGGCTAAGAAAGGCGTTGGAGTCGGACTGGTGAAATTAGAGTGAAGGGGATTTCACTTACTCGATACACTACTCTGGGTGAAATTTATAATACCCAGGTGTGAGGCTAATGAACCTAGACAAAGCGAAGCTACCAAACCTGGCTCGATAATGCTACTCCACAACCCGAAACGTGGGTGATACCAAGAACTGACCTAGCGCATGACATTACGACACAACAGCAAGTACCGACGGCGAAAAAAAATAATTATTTGCTAAAATCAAGCAGTTTGCGAAAAATCTTACCAGTAGGAAGGTGAAGCATACGGCAACCAGAAGATGATGAATAGAGAATAGAATTAGCTCCAAGCCCTTCTGGAATGTAAACATCGTGATAGTATCTAACGGGAAAATTGAAAAGTATTTAATTTCTTGAAAAATTTCAGACAATTTGGACTACTATCGAGTGCGAAGATGTCCGGATTTTCCCACAAAAAAAGAAATCATTACACTGCAAATTCTAGGGTTCTAGTTGACTTGTCTTAAGTAGGGAAATTTACTGAATAATTTTAGATGAAGGTTTACGAATATGCCATAAAAAAGGAGGGATGTCACTACTACGACTAAATCCATCATGCAACGCAGGTAATTTTCTTCATTTAATAGTAGAAAGGTTGCCGGAATAAAGTAGTGGCATAATTGAGACAGACGTACCAAAAATGATCACCCCGCAAGATATTCGCATTATGCTTGATTACGCTAAGCTTTCAAAACGAGTGAGCGGATTGAAGGAAGAGGATCGCACTTTTCAAAGGCGCTTAAGATTTGAAACGTGGCCAACAAAAGAATGACCGAGATGGGTTTTATCTGAGGGAAGACTCGATTACAAACCTTCATAGGCGAATGAAAACAAAACAAGCTAGTATGCATTCCAACGCAGATTGTGAAAATTTCAATGAAGAGCGATGGAAGCAATAAAATCTTCCCGGGAGATGTCATCATCAAGAGGACGTGTGGGTACTGACAAATCTTTCTTTACAGCAACGTGTTTAATACATAATCCGCCATGCGTCAAAGTTAAGACATTGACTTCAGCTACATGATCCACCATTTGGTCCCGGAGTTAAAGTTGATCTGTGTCTTCATGATTCACACTGAAAACGAAGCGGTGCTACGTGCTGGATTTCTGTTTAGATCTTATAAAGATCCATTGCAACTGAAGGGGCTGTTGGATGCCCGTGATCTCCGCTGTGACTATTTGCTCCCTCGGGTTATCCCTTGCAACACTTGAGCTTGTTAACCGACCAAATCTGAGCAAACGACCACTTCTCAGATAAGCAGCAAATTTTTTGGCCTTTGGCAGGACACCAAATGAGGCATCGGACAACAAACACATCAGTTTTTGCATAGGCGCTCACTTTTAATTGAGGTGATTCGTGACATTATATGTTTGAACAGGCCGATTAATCAAACATGTAACCACATCGCGATAACGCGAAAAGAAGTCTAACTAGTTTCAAGTCATTACTAACAACATGAACTGTTCTCATTCAAGAGTGACCCCATCTGTATGATTCACTATATCATCAACAATTTCTTGATTTAGCAACAGCCATTAAACAAGGCAGGTGATAAGACTTCCCACTTACACTAGAAATATGTTGAGGCTGAGTTGTTATGAGTACATGGCTAACGATTGCTCTGGTTTCATGGAGAAAAAGGATGAGGAAATAATCAAATATTGTGCGGTATATTCATTATCATATTAATGAACACGCACACAGTAATAATGGTTCTCAGTCCTTATTTAACTTACAGTGACGTTAAAACATATTCGCAAGATCCCTCACAAAAATGTAATGAGCACCGCTGCAAGCCTGCTATTATTCTGATGTGTCGGTTGCCTCCGAACTTCGATAAGCAAAATTCCTTGTACACTCAGTGTTTGCAACATTTTCCGAGACTTGAGAAGTTTATACAATGGACTATTAATGATAACAACATTTTAGGAGGTGTAGCGTTTTGCCCTACAGAAATTAGGAAGAGTGAATACTGTCGCAGTGCTTTACACAGCCATATCCACGAAATAAGAACTATTGAAAAGTGTAATTTAAAAAGTGTGTTAATCCAAAAGATTCAACAAACACTGACCCACAATCCATTAAAGCGACTTCAGCAACACGATTTTCAATTACTACATGCAACTATTAATTGACTTGCGATAACTGGAACCCCACAGATATATTTTCGCTCGAGGAGAAGTGCGAAAATAACTGCAATTTTTTCTTACCTGCAAACATATACCCTATTGTTATAGCCAGAGCTATACAACCAGTCCGTGAAATGGACCTAAAACAGAGACCAGCGGGATGGCAGAGCACTGAACTCGATACATAAGCTCTAACAAGTAAATAGTACCTGTCGCAGAACGTATTGGACAAAGTAAGCGGACATTGGAAGCTACTCAGGCATCGCTTTTAAATATAAATGACAGGACGGATTTCACACTCCAGTTCTTTAAAAGAGACGTTTTGAACTAAGCAACCCCAGAAATCACATTTTGATAAGTGAGAATGACTAAGAATTACTCAGGCGGCAACAATTATTTAAGGTCAAATTTGTATAAAATACATTGCGAGAAGCGATTTAATTAACCAAGTTTTAACACGTCTTAGCTAATAATTACCCAACGTTTTCCAAATTACTAATTGTAAGAAAATTGGAAGTACATCGGTAGCACAAAGACAAAGTTTTGGATTAAAACGCTGCGGAAGAGCATTACATCATGTATTACTCCACATAAGGGAAAAGAGGAGGATCTAACTATGAATATCTAGCAGAAAAGGTCTGCTTAAAAGACGAACTTTTATGTATTCGACGTAATATTGGTGAAGCTATTTATCACAATTTTTACCCCGCAACGAAACTGACATCATACATCCGAATGCTTAATGATCACAGAAATGATGGACACAACCCTAGACAACTCTGATTAAGTGCTGATTGGGGCGTCTGTCTACAGTGAAATGGGCTAAATTTATTAAAGTAAATTGAGCTGTTAAACGTACGTGATGGGGTCGGCCCATTGAAACTGGTCAAATAGAAGTGATTCCAGACTGAGCAGTGTTACAAGAGTTGCGTGAACTGAAGAAGCAACACTGAAAGGTAAAGAGAAATGGATAAATAGGGTTACGACAGGGTAGTAACTTCAAATTTAATGACCCAGACTTCGTTCTAGTTTGATTTGACCAAAAATCCAATAAACGCTTGTCTCTGTTGGCATTTACCTCTTGGTACCTTGAGCGACCAATGGGCAACCAAGACGTTCATTTTTTCCCGCAATTATAATTTTGAGATAGACAGTTATTAAGATACAGGTTTATCGTGAGATTTCTTCCATGAACGTCGGACCCCTTTACGACACTTTGGAGTGACTCAATATAAATTAGACCCCCAGAACAACAGTGAACCAAAGTGCTGCCGAAAATCGGGCGCCAAAATTGTCACAATAAATTATTTCTAATCAGATAATTGACCTTTAAATTCGAATTCACCACTCCTAAACGACAATAAAGTGTAGTGGTTTTAGGTCAAGGGATGAAACCTGAAGAATTTGAAGTGAGATATTTCCAATGGCACCGAAAAAATACCATGACATTGTGGGTCCAATGACAAGTTAGATAAAATGCATACAAGAAATACGGGTGAAAAATCATTTAAAACGTTTCATTTTGGCCTATTAGAAGGCTTTCCAATCAGATTAGTTTCTGTGATCTCACTGAGTGAATGACATCAGATTACGTGCTAACCACCACGTTACATTAGGTGTAGAGAGAAAGTTTAGCGAGCACTGGATACGGATTTTCCTAATTAACGTTTACAATAGAGTGGACGGCATCTTGGATGAGCACAGTCGACCAGGTAGAAGAAAACCACAGAGGTTCAGAACACTGTTAGATGCCGAAAGTTAGTACATTTTAGTTGCACAATTCTAAAGCGTTAAAAGTATCAAGTAACATCATTGATAAGATATGCACCACTTCATATTATTTGTCATTTTCTATTCAAATTAACTAGAGAGAAAAATTTGACCAAAAGAGGCTATAGTAGCCTTTGAATCCACCCAATAACAAGACGGCCGACATTGAAAGCAGATCAAGTGTTAATCGGCTACATGATGTTTTCGCACAAGGATGTCCCACCGACGCATCGTCGACCACCCCAGATGAAAACCCACCGCCCTATGGGGCTCGAAGCCTAGTCAATGCACTTGACTGGGACGCCGCTATTTAGACGACATTTGACACACCTTCGGCAATATAAGCACCTACGACGAATATCGCTCATTGGAAGGCTACGTTCATTAGAAAACAACTCAGACGACGCTATAGGCGGTAGGCTTCCACGTTCGTAAGCTGGAAAAGTTAGTTGAATAAAGAGGATTCAAACACAACCAATTCGGAACAACCGATTTCGGAGATGAGTCAAAATAACAAATAGGTGAGGAAACTAATGAACTTTTAACGTAAATGCGATTATACCAATAAACGTGAAATACATTGGCATGGACAAGGGGTAATAAGAGACACTAAATTTAATTTTACGTTGTGATTTGAAACTATCCCGGGGTAGTGCCACAAAATTAGAGAGCATTTACTGAATGCTTTCGACCGAAAGCTGAAATTGATGTAAAATGAAGGCAGAAGAAGAGTAAGGAATAACGATCCGAATAATTAATTGATGCGGGTCGTGAGATTCGATGACTCACGTAGTTAGCATACAAAGTTGGCATTTTTTTCATCTGCATACGTGAAGTCGGCACGAAGGTAGAAACAAGGAAGCCTACAGGTAGCCATTTACAACATCAAAAATTCAGAGAACCAGTGTCGGTTGATGACGATACGAAGCGCAACCAAAAGCTACAGAAAATTAGTAAGCAATTTTAAGGGGCAGTAATGGCTTATAAACGAATATATGGACAAAATTTTTCAAGACGAGAGTACACATTTTAACAAAACTAGAGAATATCGCGGGTTTAGTAGGGACCGGTAACTGGGCTGATCGATTGATGGGATATAAGAACACCAAAATTAAACGAACATAACCAGAAAGTGATGAGGACAAGGCAGCGATGAATCTTTTAGGCGAAGACTGCTGCTAGCGGCTTCCGTAACATTGTTACCTTCTTATACCCACTGTCCAATCAGAACACAGCGGTAAATAACATGACGTCATGCACCCTACGGGCACGTACATACAAAATGACCCTATCAGTTTGACGTAGAAGTAAAGACCACTTTTACCATAAACGCTTCAAGTAGAATTTACTAAAATTTTATTTTATTTTGGTTTCAGATGTCTCATTTATTAATTTATACCACGAATAAACATTTTCTTCACACTGGCTCTCTGTATTTTAAGTAAAAATCTTGAAGGGAGTTAGTAATTTTGCACATAGATGATACACAATATGATTGTAAAAGTAATGTCCGGTTAAAGGAATTGAGTGAGTTACGTAGCCAATAATTAGTCGTAATGGACCAATTAGGGGTCCAGAAGGCAGTTGGCTAGGCGTCCGTTTAAATGGTATAAAAATGGAACGTTTCACGAAGGTAATTATGATGAGGGAGAGAAAGAGCGATTAGAATACCAGGCACGCGTTATGAGGTAACATAAAGAAGCGAAAAAATATATTGTAAAACAAAAGGGGGCATGGTACAATGCAGCTCAAACTTACTGAACACTAGATACCTCAAGTGTTGACGTATAAGGAAACTAAAAGATCTCAATAATGGCGACTGTCCACTGAACCGAAACTAGGAGGCTCGCGCAGATTCGAGGGCGAGACAATTCGAAATCCACGTTCAATAGAATAAGTAAAAACAATTGATAAATGGGGGCAAAATACAGAACACCCGGGAGCTAGTATAAACGTAAAGTACGAAATGACACATAAAATAATGAGTACGTTTTTCCGAGAATTTAGAATAAGGAAGAAAAATAGATTAATTGTGGAGTCGGGGTTCTTAAAACGAGAAACGTTAAGTCAACTTGCATAAACTTTATTCAATTGATTGAGAATTCACCTAATTTATTCAAAATCTGTGAAAAACGGACTCAAAATCGATCAGTTGTTTTTGATTAGAAAAAAGTGTCGATTTGGTACAAATGTTGGAACAAAACAAATATGAATTAATTACGAGGTACCAAAACCAAACATGGGAGACCGACTTATACACAGGCGTAAAATTAGACTTAAGGTGCTCAGTTAACAAAAAAGGCAATCCCTTTGCTGGATGTTTAATGTTTTGATAAAAATATAGCCTTCTAAAATTTAAGCGTCCGAGGGAAGGAGCCAATTAGGTAATTATTAGAGATGATGCAGCATCAGTGTAGAGGCTTAGTGCATTAATACTACAGAAATAAATTTATTTCTGCAGGTTGAGTAGGAATTAAAAGCAAAACAGAAAATTACTTGAAGTCTAAGGCTTATAATTTAAGAAGAAACCGAAAAACAATAGCATACGTACAGGAGTGCTACACTTTTACAAAAGATGGCTATTGAATACTAAGGCGGTATATTATCAAATAGGTACATTTTAGACCAAGTCAGAACAAAAACAAGGGATGATTAGAGCACATTGAAAAAAGCAAACTAGACACCAAACTAAAAGACCAAAGCCAGTACCAAAATTTCAAAAAGCAAGGAAAAAAGTTCTGGAAACGCCGGTAGCCACAACAATACCGACCATCGACATCAGCTGGTTTTTATAGTAATAACAAAGTGAGGGACCACTAGAGGAAAGGCAAAGGCCGCAACAACTTCAAAAATGCATTATTTCTGCGCAATGATTAGAGTTCTTACTAGGGGATTTAAAATACTCTCTTACCGACAATTCCATTCAAGCTTCTGGTGTGGGTTAAGGCGCCGGTAAGAAGGAAAAAGGCTTTCGAAACAGAGGGGTCCAATTACGCGGTTTATTAAAATTGTACCACAGAAACTCGCAAGAGACCATAAAGAGTAACGATACTCCACATCCTGAGGCCAAACGTACGATTCATAAGCTTTGCCCATGGTAATAAAACCCCTTCTGCTGGAAATGGTTGAGGCCTACGTAAAAGCGAACAGAATCCCCGCCGGAAATAAGACGGCACGCTCTCCGAGGTGTCGACCAATTCTAACGGCCAACCAAACTAATGACAAATTTGAACACCCCAAGGTCATACGAAGCGTAAACGCTTTATGTAATATGACATATAAAATAGTCTAATCAAAATAATTTTATTATTGAAATATTTTTTTCAATGCAAAGCATTATACTACCTTTTGTATATTTTTAGGGGAAAATTTTAATGGTTAATAAATATGTAACTTGTTACTGTTTATATATCTGTGCGCTTTGGTTACTTTGTTTCAAATTAATTCTTGATACATCTCAAAATAAATCTAACTTCTTTCATAAATTTACAAAAACCCGGGGATTTCATGAAAAATTTCTGAAGCATCTATAGTATTTTGGGGGTTACAATAAATGGCCATACTGTTATGTAGCACGTATTTTCGGAAATTCTTCAGCGGTATTGTGACAACTTTAGGGTTACATAAACAGCTTTACACGATTCACAAAGCCTGGATTAAAATACGTTTAAACACTGTTTTAAATATTGTGAGTGACTCTATCATAAAATAATATGGTTTTTAATGTCTAGACCTGGACAAGAAAATTCGAACAACCCAGAATTCAAAGGCAGAACGGTCCAAATAAAACATTAATTTCACGAAAATTTAAAGTATGAAGTATGAATTTGGCTTAGCAGTTCTTTGAAAGTGTCTTTGTTTGATCAATAGAGACGTGGTCAAATATTTACTCTCTAAGACTCATCAGGACTGAAGCAATTATTCCCATGTACAATATCCACGCATTCTGGTTTCATAAATAATTCTGCAGATTAACCACTTATTCGGTGTTTACTAAACGTAAAATTTAAATTTTGCAGCTTTCTCCTGCTTTTATTAAAGCCTACATGAGACCAACTGAAAATAAACACTCGATCTTCTAACATATTTTTTTGTTTTAATCGAATTGCCAGAAATTATTGACTTTGGGAGTCAGTTAAGATGCATTCAGCTACTGGATAACAAATAATATGATGTTTTTCAAGATATTTTTGTCTCTGATTCATCGGTAAAATTCCAAATTAAAATTTGACGCATTTAAAGAACTGCGGCTGAATTTAGTTGAAGTTTGACATACAGGTTTTATAAGCTGATGATACTTAATTTAATTACAGAGGGTGCTAATTAAAATATTTGCAATGATCCACCAATATTTTCGTACAGACAAATCTATTACTCGAAAAAATTTTCATTGAGGGGACATCCCTTATCATTTTAATCCTCCGAATCTACTTTGTAAGTGGTATTTTTACAGCAGCCACATGATCAGGTTCTGAGCTCAGTAGTCAAAGAGAGGTAAGGGAGATGAAACGGTTAGGAAGTAGATGGTCTCAACTATGAATTTTTGTTCATAATTATACAAAGGAAGATAGATATCATATCCAGCTGTTGTGTAACATTGGGGAAGGCTTATTCTTCTGCGATGATATCTGATTCGACAGGCAGTGAATCAGATTAACTTTTGTGCATAATGGTAAATAGAGAGTTTCTTAAAATATGCTTAACCATAACGATGTGTATACCCTCCTCTGCTCTCCGGGATTTGATTCAATCTGGACCGAATTAGTTAAATGGATTGTCCACTGTTCTGATAGCAAATTTAGGCCTGTGTTTGCTTTGATGACCTTTGCTCAGACATGGATCATTGAGTTGCATTGGATTTTATTGAGCAAAGGTCTCTGCATATAGGTATGATGGCTATGAATTGGCATCTGATTCTACCCATACCGTACACGGAGCTTACGAAGTCAATATGTCACTTTATGCCTAGAAACTTAATGAATGGTTATGTCAGTTTATTTTCGTTGTTTTTAATGACAGCGTAGAATAGGTCAATAGTGCGGCTCACATACTGCTACAGAAGTGCCCTAGAAAACACACAATGGTTTTCTAAAATTCGTAAAAACACTAATTATACTCGGATCCTTAGGACTACCAATCATGTTTCAACAAGAAGAAAATGTGACATTTTCCCATTTAAAAATATATGCGACATCTGTACCGACTCAGACCAGATCAAGGTTAATATAAATTATTGCAATAAACCTTCAAAAGTTGGGGTCGCTTTGCTTAAACCGCAAAGCAGTTACTAGTAGTTGCATATTCCGAATAGGTTAGCAGGAAATTTTGAGTGCCTTCTTTAGGGAAACAAATGTTTAGACAGTAGCAGTAACCTGGTCAAAGCTATTTACTCAGAATTCACTTCAAAAGTCCTTCACAGACGGCTTAAATACTGGAACCACTCAGGAGCTGGTTGAAAGGGGAAATTATTCCAAGGCGAAACGAACGCATACATTCTGTCGTGATTTTTCTTTGTCGTCTGCAAACGATTTTATACAATATATCATTAGGTTAATGTGTTAGGGTTATCCAGTTAAACTTTGAAAACTAGATCATAAGGAATTAAAAGACCTTAGTGGTTTAAAAGAATAAAAGAACTATTTAAATAGGAAGATGCAGTAACGCACTAATTTAAGAATTTAAACAGTCCTTAGACGTTGTAGCAGCCGAACGTCCAATGGAGCAACAAAGATGAGAGACCACCTTCATTACTGGATGGTAGCTGGGCGTTAGTGACCTTGAAAGTGGGAAGTACTTATTTATATTAAAGCACGAGTTTACAATAACCAGTCTGTGATCATTCGAAGATTCTGGTTTTAATTATAAGATCTAGGGCGGTTATCAGTACCTTGGTGACTTGTCTTGCCATTGATATCTGTGAAAATTGAAAATCGCTAATCATATTGGCAGCTCAAAAGAGACGACGAATCTGTGTATCGCCTTCAGCTACCACTATTTCTGGTTATATCCAGATGTACTATGGATACATGAACTGATGTAACTACACCGAACTATTGGTATTGATTCATTTTGCTGGTCCTACTTATACAAACCAGTCCTTTTTTACTCTCCAAAAAACTATGAAGGGAGGCAAGTGGGGTTAATTATATTTTCCATTAGTTTTAAGTATTTAGCAATTTGTGCCTATAAATAAGCTAGAAAGTCAGAAAATGTATTGATTAACCGTAATTAAGTTCTTTTTGCAAGATGTATTCAGGGAAGTAGTTCCCATAGGATTATTTGATTGTTAGTTGCCTCTAGAAGACCCATTTGAGAATTAATTTGAAGTAGTTTTAATTCACCTAGTGGAATAGGGAAATTAACTGCCTAAAATAGACATTCAGGGCCTAAACTATTTAGCAAGACAATGGGTTCTGATTTCTTAAATCTCTTTCACAGTATGTATGCAGAGCTCACCAATCTCATAAATAGGTCGGTTCTGAGGCATTCATTTTGAACTGTAGGCTTAGAATTACATAAGAGCGTCCTGTGAATATCTTACAACGTAAGCCGTTGCGAGACAGCATTTTTGATTTTAGTGCTCTTTCGTTATTCGTACTGTAATTGTTTAGTTAAAAAACGTTTAGTAGTAATTACTTAAAAACCATAACATTAAAACCATTGGTACTAATCGCAACGCGCTTGTGTTTGATCAAAACTATAGTTGATTAAGCTGAAAATGTTTTTAACGGTAAATAGCAATTTTTAAGCATACACTGAAAAGTACAGACATGTGCAAAGTAAATCTTATAACATTTTTTAAAAGACTTCTGTAAAAGTCTTATAGACAGATCGTAAATAATAGCAACAGGTTATTGCTGAAAATGTTGGTTAGAATCACGTTTACAATTAGGCATTAAATTAACTTTCGTGGCACTAGATTTTTTGACCCGAAGCGAGCTGCATGCATTTCACCAAAAAATCGACTCTTTCGGATAAAACACGAAAGTTGGCGCATTTGTTTTAGGCAAACAATTTATTGCTTGACCACAGGCATTTTTGCCCAAAGATAAGATTTAAACCAGAATCAGTCTTATGGCAGAGCCGACTAAAACCCTACTGCACATCTAAGCCTTTACTTGAGGAACTTCTAGTTCACTTTGTTTGCATCAACTTGATTATTGACTAGGTTAAGAACGATGTGCTTGGAGCATTTGGGTGTCCAACTGTTGCGTTTTTAAAGCACAATATCAGCCCAACTAAAATAATTGCACAAACATTATGTTATTTATCAGGTTGCATTTTCTCAACATTGATTTTTGAAAATTTTGACTTAATAAATTAATGAAACAAGTCATCTAGTTTCGGATGAGGTACAGATGTCAAAAATATCAACATTTTAAAACCCTAAAGCTCCACTAACCAATAGTACAACAAATGTTGCTTTAGGCCATCATAATTTATATTCAGAATTTTAATAATTTTTCACCCTTAACAATGAATTAATTTAATTTATTTTTATCAACTTATTAAAACGACAGGAATTATTGCAATCGCAAAATCTCAATTAACGTAGACAGATTATCTAATTACACTAATCACTGTTTCCAGGTGATATAGGGATTTGGCAGTACATGGACCACTTTTTTCATAACAGAAGTTATTATGAAATATAAGAAGGTAAAAGTACCGTTTAATTTGTATTAGAAACGGCAGAGATATTTTGAGTTTTTCATTTTATCTAATATGACTAGTTTTCATGATAGCAACTTAACAGATATGTGCAATAAAACGTAATCAATTTTCACGCTTTTTTATAAAGAGCATGGGAACGCTGCTTTGTCAAAACTTTCAACACCGCTGACCACTTTTTTAAAATTCACTTAAGCAACAGACGCCAAATTTTATCCTAAATATTAGGTTTAGAAAATTAACTTTTCACTCACTGATGTCATGATCGACAAACTAGGTGCCGACGCAAATGCAGATTGCATCTTCTTTATTTAAATCCAACATAGTCTGTTTGTAGGGGTCGTCTGGCATGTTATACTTTACAAAAATAATTGCATGCTAAACGTACACTTATGGCAATTGCCGCAGACTTGGGAATTTTTATTTTACTCCTACGCTATAATCCAATTTTGGTTTTCGTCTAGAACAATCTTGGCACATCAAATCCTTTAAACAGGCAATGCAATTGTATTACATCAATGAGGTTGTTACATATGGCCTTTTGTTATTACTATACTGATAGCCCTAGAAGTTAAACAATAAAACAAGTTTACTTATTTATCTTAAAGACTTCTATTATTATAAGGCCTATATTGATTGTGAAAAAATGCACACAAGATATATTCAGAAATTATTCACTCTGTCCTGTAAAACTGGGTAATAAACCATGGTAAGCGTAAAGAGGAATCTGACAGAAGCCTAGTACAGACTTTCTTAATGCAGATGCTACTAAAACTCTATTATTTTGTATTTTCAGGTGTGCGGCCTAAGTTATTTATTGAGAAGAGAACCGCAGTTACCCAAAAGCAAAGAATTACAAGAAACGCGAACCTTAAAAGAGAACCACAAGTCTATTATCGAAGTCGTTTATTTATCACTATTCTATTTGAATGTTGAGTCACTTGAATCTACTCGAAAGCAGCATCAGAATACGTTTCCATATTCACAGATAAATATTCAAATTTGACGACAAGCCATATTCTAAAGTTTACACCGAATGACCTTCTGATGGCATATATACATTTTATGTTATAACTCTTAATGACCAAAGAGCAAAGTTATGTATATTCTGCCATTTCAATTAGCTTTTTGGCTTAAGCGGCGCCAGTCGTGTTTTACGTGGTCACTCTCAGATGGTTAGACAGCATTGTGGATAATCGATTGCCTATTCGAGTGTTTCATTTATTACGTGAACTTAAAAGTCGCATTGCATCTCGTTCCTTTCAAACTTTAAATGTTAGCTCTAGCAACACGTTGACGCAAATGTTTACAAGCAAGTTCTTAGTCAAATACTGGAAAGAATTCAAAATATTCGTGGGTGTGTAATCCACCCTTCCAGAAGGATTCCAATAATGAACTAGTGTAAAGGCGATAAATTAGTCATCGTTTTTTAACAAACAAACTTCAGAACTACATGTATGACCTAATTAGTGCAATTAAAATATGGGTGTTCCTGTTTGATGCAAATCTCCCCGGTAGCAAAGGTATCTAAATTACAATAGCGATAACAACAGCCTTCTAGTGGACCACTGTTATGTAATGAAAGGTGCAGGAAAGAAGACGTTAGGAAAAGTTATCAAAATCTTGTTTCAAAAATTTTAGCTATTGTTGCATGTAATGCATTTTGACCCAGCTACTATTTAATAAAAAATGCGCCAGGTGCTTATAAATCTCGGGAACGCCACCAAATCAAAATTGGGCTTGGTGAAGATGCTGCGTTTTCCGACGGCCTAGAAAATAAATGACATAAATGACGAATCTGGAGATTTTCATTACATTTGCATGGTTAAAATATTGCATTTGTGTGAACGTGGTATGCACAGGATGAAGTGAAGCCAAACGTTTCCCATTCATTTGAGTACTCTCTGCATTAATAACATTTTCCTGAATTTCGAGATTGTCGAGGGTGTGCATTGGCTTTTAGCCACGCTGATTAGGGCTGAAAATTTAAAAAACCAACAGTAACTAGACTTTCCAACGTAATTTTCACCAACCAGCGAAACTTGATATTATTATTATTATTTAAAATGAGGCTATAATTATGTAAATGTCTGTTCGCCATATACCATTTTAAAATTAGGATGTAACATCAAAAAGTATAATACATGACGACAATGTGATAAAAACTGTCTAAAACAACCGTGGTAAAAAAGGAAATTATTATCGACATAATAATAAAAGTGATACGAAATCTAAAATCTTTGCTGTCCTTGCAGAGTTGGTTTAATTCTAGTAAGAATTACAATTACACAAAGCACTCCATCTGACTATTAAAAGAAGCCTTGTTAAAACTAATAATTCATTTTAAGGTTTGTTATAAAAGTAGTTCGATGAGCATGTCAGATCTCCAACATTGGCAAGATTGGCTTATTAGTCTACCCAAGACCTTAAAAACATAACCATAGATTTGTGTAAAACTTTTCAACACTCAGATTTTTAGGAACAGCACTGGCTGTACGTAATACAAACACAAGCAGAATTATAAAAACGAAAAAAAGATAGAGGCTCGTGAGGTTTATTCAAGAAAGGGAAAATCTGTGCGGGGAAGAACAGCATAGAGTAGTTGTTTCATTAGTACTAAACTTAGAAGATATTGTAATTTTTGAATATCTGTAAAGTAAAAAAAGCGAATTCAATGCCTCGAAACGAATGAAATGTAGTAAACGACGACACCACTTCAAGGTAGCCAAATTCCAGTAATCTGCATCGATGTGAAAGTTGTATCTGAATCACAATAAAAGTTGTTCTTTCCATAAAATGCACTTAGAACGGTTTTGGAATGTCATCTGCATGGTGTTTTTGAATTTATTGCTAATTTCATAATGTGGTTTCCTGTCTATCAGTTGATTTGAGCAGGCGGTTAGTTAAACCCATCTTCGTAGGTATACCGCTGACATGTTAACACGCAGCAAATTGATTGTGTGGCTAAATAACCAGAAAGGCCTTTTGCGTTTTGGTCCTTCATCACTCCCCAGGCCATTTTGCACAGTGTTGTGCACTAGAAGTGACACATAATGGAACAAATTAACCCATGTGACACCAAAGGCGTATTCTGACAGAACAGTGAACATTTCACCAAAATGCATTTGTACGTGATTTGAAAAACGTATAGCATAACAGATGCACTTATTCTTTTAAAGTAATTCAAATCAGTGTTCGTTCTATCCTTTCTAAAGTGCACAAATAACGCCCACACATTAATGGACAGCTATGTCATAAGTAACTTCACAAGCAATTTGAAATTCGAAATTGAGTAGCACTGAAACAGGAAATACAAATGACTTCAAAGACTCGTCTATAAAGTTTAGTAGTTTGATGAGTCCCCAGCTACAGAGGAGCGGAAATACACCAACCCTTACTTATCAATTTCTATTTAAATTTAGAAGTGGCTATGAATATTTGAAAAATAACAGATGATCACAGGTAGATATTTAAATATGTAAATAGAAATTATAAAATTTACGGGGTAGGAATTGATGTGTCCCTGGCCATCACCTTTTTTCAAACATAACAATTCTTAAATATATAAATAAAATCATTTACTGCTCAGTTAAGTCCCTGAAAAGGAATCAACTAACGTATTCCTCATCTCCAGAACAATTTCTGCTTTTATTTAAAATTAGGTGTAAACTACACGGTTTTATAGACCTATAAAACCAAACTGTTAATCAAACAATACTACAATATTTCTCAAAACTCTATGCAAAATACTGCTATATCGTAGAACCAAAACCACTGTTCTTGCAAATGAACACTAGGCTTCCATGCTAACAAATATGTCCATGATTAAATCTCGTCTGAAAATTGTTACCAACTATGTGCTTGAAAATATAAACCATTTCCCAGTTCAAGAATCACGCCCTGGTTTACAATTCATCAAAATCTCGTTAGGTATTTTCAGGTATTTTGAATAGATGGGGGTCTGACTAAACATTTTGACCATAGTTTAATTTTGTACAAATGAACTGCTTACTTGAGCTGTGCAGTAGTTCCGAGTAGTCCATAACAATCTGCATTGAGAGCTGTTCAAAAAGCAGAAAGATACATTAATTTTCGACCTTTTTGAACTCACAGTTTGTCGTTATATGTAATCCAGTTTCGATAATACAATGAATCAACATCCAACTTCTTGAATAGCTTGTTAGCTCTCTTATGTTTTTCCTAATACCTATCTAAATCAACTAGGTTTGATTTCAATTAATGTAGTTTCGATGTGAGCTAAAAGTATATTTAGGCCAACAATGCAGATGTCGCGTCATTTAATCCTACAACTGAGTTGTCTCTATTTCAGGAACCTAAATGCTTTTGACTTTGAGCCCAGTTCGAGTTTCGGTCATTGGTTTTTAGTAGTACCAATCACCATCTGATCCGACAAGGCTGATTGTCATTGAAATTTACCTGTACCGAGGTTTGTGAATCTGTATTTTTGAGATTTTTTGTATGCAGTATAAACGTCGATCAAAATTATTTTGCTTAAAAATAGGAAGCTAATTTCAGCTATCAAGACTTTCCATCAGGGCATTTATTTACTCATTGAAACCAAATATCAATGATTTTAAGAAATTAAATGTCAAATATAATCACATATTTTTCAAAAACCATGGGTTTTCTAAATAATGGGCTCACTTTTTTGGATGTACTTGAATAATCGTACAATTCGGATCTGAAAAGGCATAATTCCTTGTCAGAATTTTCCATAAACTTTTCAAGGACATTTCAAATGATAACGAACTTTTGTGTTCTGCTTGTCAGCAATTATGTGGAACTTGCCTTTTTTAGACAGAAGGTAGAATTCTTCGTGAGGAAACATAAATTGATGTTTCACCAGAGGTTTCTCAAGAATTTTGAAATCACTGAATTGGATTTTTTTCTTCGTCTCAGTTTGTGTCTCAATAAGTCCTTTGGTGTCTAATTCTGCTGACCGCGTTTCCCCAGCTGGCTGAACCATCACTCGGATATCTCGAGTGACCTCCGTAGCAGCAGTTGCATCGACAACCGACGAACTGGTGACGGAGGCAGCTCCTTGATGCAACTGAATTCCTTGGTGAGGCGTCAGGCGATTTCCTCTACAAAAACTCACCAGCAGACACTTTCTTGGAACCATTTTGCCTATCATGAAGCAGGCAAGAATGGAGACCAAAGAAAATAGCAATGAGCCACACGCAAAGATCACCCTGACGGGAACAACGTAATCTTGGACATCATTTCCGTCAGTTGACAGAGACTTGTCTGAAATAGCTAAAAGTGGGATGTTTTAATTGCATGGACCAGCATACCTCCTGCTCTATGATTTAATAAAGCGACAGTATAAAGATCTAGGCATTGTAATCAGACATTTTTGAAGGGCTAAACCTCAGAGGTTCTATACTCTCTACATACAATTCCAGTTGTATTTAAGAATTCTAGCTTGCTTTGTGCTTCTTAATGGTGCATTCAAAATATTTGTCAAATAAAACCGGATCGTATTAATGCAACCTAGCAGATGTTAGTAATCTGTTATGGTGTTTAGTTCACCACATTGCTTATTTTCTTTACTCTAAATTAAAATGTAATTTTTGTCTCGAAGCTAAAGCAACCCACTTGCAAAAGAAAACTAGAAGAATTACTTATTCCTCCTAGAAAGCTTATCGAATACTTGTCTGGATTTGTGTCAATACTAAAAAACAAATGTACACTTTGAAAAAATTTTCGTTTTTTGCATCGCCAAAATCTGTCTACAAGTTTATTTATTTCAACTACTTTGATTTTTGAACACGCACTTTACTCACCATCTTCACATTCTATCAAAATTCACTTTTGATTATAACTATGACAATGTATGCCTTCAAAAGAATTTATTCCATCATTTGTCTACCTTCTATTCAGAAAGTATATAACTATATTCAACTTAAGCAGATTCGTCCTTGATATTTGTTTTTAAAGAAGGATTGCGCGTTTAAAATGGCTCATTTAAGCCAACTTACCAGCCCTATCCAATAAACTGTTGGTCAATGTGCATTTGGAGTCTGAGGTCCATCCATAAATGGTATTACTCGTGGCCGCTCGTTTCGATACGCAATTCATGCCAGCCTTTAAAGCAATCAGTGCATTTGAAGAATGACCAAAGATTGTAAATTGACCAGAATTTACTGATTCCACGGATATGTTTTCTGGGGGGAACAACATCATGGAAACGAGATAGAAACGATTGAATTTGCAATGTCTAAGGTGTTCTAGACTTGATTAGGATAAAAATAGAATAACGTAGGCAGAGTCACAACTTCTTAGAAACACGTTTACTGGTGTCACTGTGACATTGTCAGGGCATACTCGGATAACTCGTTAAAAGGCCTACAGCTTAAATAAGCTACCAACACATCGTATTAGTTTAGAATCAGAATATACTAGTTTATTTTTGGGCAATAAGACAGTATTTGTTAACTCGAAATAGACTGCCTGATACGTTTTTGCGTCACCTGATTTATGAGAAGACTACTATTTGAAATTTCACTTATTTTTAGCTAAATCTAATTTTGCTATTTGAATCTAAAAATTTTAAATTGACGTAACTTTTAGCTAATTTACTAGTGCAATTAACAGTTTAGTGAGTCTAATGCTACTGTTAAAGTGCTTACAGGATAAAACTGAAAAATCACATTTGGTTGTTCATGAGATGCAAATTAGAAACCAATTTTAACGAATATTCTCATCACACTACTTGGGATCAGATGCATTACTGGTTCGAGGAAAGCTGCTAATCTTGTATTCTTATTTTTAGCATGTGGGTCGCTACTGAGTTACATTCATATTTTACCACCTGAAGACTAAAGAACAAAACCACTTGCCTTTAAGACTAAATGACAAGAGTTTAGTAGGCATCAAACTTGTCTCTAATAGCAGCGCTGACGATTGTAGTTTTGCGCTCCGATTAGTATGTTCTGGCTAAAAGCTTATTAATTGCAAATCCAGATAATTAAAACGTCATTTCTCATTTCTGCAAGGTATGTAAGTCAGAAGATCCTTTTTGGTTATTTGATTGAAGAAAAATTGAATGGCACCATCTTCAAGAACTAGAGGATAATTAGGAATTTACGCCAACAAAGAACCTTTTATGACAGAGCATTAATCACCGCCACATATGTGCCTTACTTGAGCCTTAGTTGAAAAGCACAAGTCATACAATTAAACATCACACTAAGGCAGAACAATGTCAATTGCCAGAGGGTTTCCATTGAATTGGAACATACCTTATGTTCTAAATGAGTGATTAGACAGAAAAACGTGCAGATCAACAATTTGGTGTTAGTGTGCGTCGAGTTACCAAAGATGGCAAAAATTGACTTTGATACGTCGAAGTAGCGATACTCAATTTTAGCAAGAGTAAAATGTTAAGGCATTAGCACAAAGATGTAATGTATTATTTTCAAAATTATTTATTATTTATTGCGTTCCAATATTTTGTTGGCATGATTTGACAAGTGACTGACTGAAAAATAATTGGAGAGCTTGAATTTTTTTCTTTGGTTGCATAAAGTGCAAAATCAAGGCATTTGTTATTTTAATTATTAAAGAATATAAACAGAATCTTTTGGCTTTAAAATGAGTTCAAAATATCTATTCTTTCTTGCTTCGCTCACTTATCATGTAGCTTTGACAAAGTATTTATTGTTGACAAGTTTCCGGAATACGACTTTTCATTGTTTTGTGAAATGAGGAAGGTGTCTTTTGCGAGAATATTTGAACCAGTCAGGTACTTGGAAATTTGTAGGCATGATATATTTTTACGGGCTATAATGTTTTTGATTAAGGCTCACAAACATTTACTTGCTGACAGTATTCAATGCAGTAAAATGCAAGATTCGTCGTTACTTTGGTGTCTTGGTCGGTCATCTCTCAGAGCAATAGATCGTTAAGCCAGATCATACTAAAGAGCATAGATTTTCATGTCCCCAATTTTACTGCTTGTTTTAAATTTGTGACAGGTGTGGCTAATTCATCATTGACCACTAATGTTTCATGGGAGTTATAGAGCTCTATTGTTCTAGAGGCCCAGAAGATAGTAAAAGATAACATGTGAGTAGGATGTGCACGAGAGCTCTGACTTATGTTAATTTTGCATAATTATGAATGTGTATGCTTTGTCTTCAGCAAACAAGAGACACACACATGGTTAAAAAACTCAGGAGCCAAGTCAAATATTTTCCTTTTAAGTTGATGCCTTTAAATAACAGAAGATGCTTTCGAAAAGTGAGGAAACATTAATAACTTATGTTAAACCAGTTTTCAACAAATTCGTACTTGCATAAGTTTTTTTTAAATAATTTAGCGCGGCAAGGGCATTTTAAAATGTGAATAAAAGCATTTAAAAAAAACATCCGGAGAACTTCACTTCATGGATGTCAGTGTCAAGCTTGGATATTTTGCAAAAAATCCTCGAAAAATTTGGGTCAGCCAAATCTTTAAGTTGGCATTGTAATAACTTATAAACCCTGGATCAAACAAAAGGCCAGGTTTTAAAAATTCAACAAAAAGTAGGTGAATAAACTTTCTGATTTTTGTGTTCGTTTCCTGCTAAAATACTTCTGATATTCTGCTCCTGCTGTTATTGCCGGTCGTAATCCCTGTGAGTACTTACTCCCCAAAATTGACAACTCCAAAAACCTTAAGAAGGCCATTTTTATACGTTACAGCGTACTTTTTTTTGAAAATAACCAGTCAAGTTACAAAGTCTAGCTAGATTTTAGGACTGTTTTAAGGTAGATCTGCAAAATATTAAGGCTTATATGTGTAATCGACTATTATATGACAAAAATTTCGTATTTGTACTGCCTGTGACAGAATTTCGGAATGTCGAAAAATTGGTGTGATGTTCATACGAACAGAGCTAACCAAAATTAATTTAAATGAAAAAAAGGACAGAGTAGCAGTTAATTGGTAATCAGGTAGTGATAAAATTGTAATACAAACAGTAACAATACGCAGCAATGCGAATTATTGGGTATTTTTAAAAATAAAGTAAAACAAGTTGTTTTTTTCGTTTTCATGCTTTAATTATTCGTTGAAGCCTCTATTTAGGAAGTGAAGCTTTTAAAGATGCTATTCTTAAACATAAAAGGGACATAAGATCCAGATTTCCTTGAAAAATGTAAAGATAATTTGTGTACATGTCGAGGCGAAAAGTTGCATGTGAGCTGACTTCATCAAGTTGTACTTTAAGGTACAAAGTGAACGGAGACAAATGCTGTTATTGGTAGATATCCACTGTTGTGACCAAACAATATTTTGTACTCTGACAATTTGTGCTGTTTAGAAAAAATACACAATACCAATGGTAGCTGAACCATGTAATCATAAAACACCAAATTTATGGATAGACTGAAGCGAAATCAAACTCCCAAATTGTGTTGCACGTGCTTTAATGTGGGTTTAACACTGGCCTGAGGTCATAGGAAAACGGCCACGCCGTGGACTCACCTCTCCTCCACTGTTTGTCCCTCGGGGACGTCGAGTACTCCGCAAAAAAAACACATTCGTCGTTTTTAAAAATCGCCTTCTGTGGGATAACTGTAGGTGCCCATGTGAATACTTCAACGGATATTTGCAGGCCGCAGGGAATTGGATCCAGAATTTCAATTCCTAATGCGAAATTAGTGTAAATGATGTAAAAGCAAAAAAAATTGTTCTAAGGGATCAATACTAGAGTCTTTTGGGAAAATATTTAAGAAAAACGCATTGGTATTTTAGGAACTTTCGGAAACATGACTTTAGCTAGTTTTATATCCTGGCTTTTACATTTACTACACTTCATACGTCTGTAGCAAGCACAGTTAACATAGAAAATGCGTCTTTGTTGGAATTTACGTCGAACTACACATGTGGTTTGCATATTTTACAAACGTCTTAACCTGAAAACAAAAGTAATTTCTAAACACCCTTAGCACAAACTGAAGCACATTATTTTCGTGCTTGCGATTTCATTTATTATAAAAAATGCACATCGCGCGATTACTTTCATTAAAAATTACTTGAAATCAGATTATTATTCATTTCACCATGCATACACGTTAGTAAAGTGATGGCTTAAGAATTTAATGACTGGACAGGTAGCCGGAACTGTGTGACATA